GGGACAAGGGACATCCTTGTCTAGTCCCCTTTTTTAGAAGAATTGATCTCATCTTTTCTCCATTGCCTACCACATTGGCTGTTGGTTTTTCATATGTAGCTTGTATTGTGTTGAGGAATTTTCCTTCCATTCCTATCTTCTTGAGTGTCTTAAACATGAATTGGTGTTGGATGTTGTCGAAACCTTTTTCTGCATCTATTGATATTATCATGTGGTTCTTATGTTTCTTCGTTTCAATGTGACGAATAATACTTATGGTCTTTCATATGTTGAACCATCCCTGCATCCCTGGTATGAATCCCACTTGGTCATGGTGAATTATTTGTTTTATATATTTTTGTATTCTCTTGGCTAGTATTTTGTTAAGGATTTTTGCATTGATATTCATTAGGGAGATTGGTCTGTAGTTCTCAGTTCTTGTCGGATCCTTGCCCGGTTTAGCTATCAGAGTTATACTAGCTTCATAGAAGGAATTTGGGAGTTTGCCATCTTTTTCCATGTTCTGGAAGAGTTTGTGTAGGATTAGTGTCAGTTCTTCCCTGAATGCTTGATAAAATTCACCCGTGAAACCATCTGGTCCTTGAGCCTTCTTGGTTTTTAATTCTTTTATAGCCTTGTCTATTTCTTGTACTGATATGGGTCTGTTGAGGTCTTTGGTCATTGGGGATAATATGGGGAGGGATTGTTTTTCCAAGAATTCATCCATGTCTTCCAAGTTTTTGAATTCTTTAGAGTACAGCCCTTCATAGTATTGTGTAATTATCCTTTTGATTTCATTATGGTCCATTGTAATATTCCCTCTTTCATCCTTCATCCTTGCTATTGAAATGCGTTCCTTCCCTTCTTTGGTCAAATTCGCGAGAGGTCTGTTGATTCGATTTATCCGTTCGAAGAACCAACTTTTAGCAGCGTTGATTTTTTCCGTAGTTTTCTTTTTTTCTCTCTCCTGAGTCTCAGATCTAATTATTACTATTTCTTTTTCTATTAGTTGGATTTTCTTGCTGACTCTGCTTTAGTTGCTGTAAATTTTGTGTCAGTGTATCAATCATATGCCTCTCCTCCTTCTTTATGTGTGCATGTAATGCTATGAGACTACCTCTGATGACTGCCTTTGCTGTGTCCCATAAGTTCTGGTATGTTGTGTTCGCATTCTCGTTGGTTTCTAGAAATGTCCTAATCTCATCTCTGATCTGGGCCAGAATGCTCTCCTTTTGCAATAGAGAGTTATTCATTCTCCAATGGTTTGCCCTTACTTTCTTTATCTTCCTTTGGTTTATTTCCAATCTTATGGCACAGTGGTCAGAGAGAGAGGTCTGTATGACATCAATGTGCTTGAATTTATGTAGATTAGACGTATGCCCTAGCATGTGGTCTATTTTAGAAAATGTGCCAAGGGGAGCAGAATAAAATGTGAATTCCTTTTTGTTTGGGTGGAGAGCTCTGTAGATGTCTATCAGGCCACATTGTCTAATTGTAGTGTTTAGAGCTCTAGTCTCACCTTGTTGAGTTTCTTTCCGAGTGTTCTGTCTTTCTCAGAGAGCGGTGTATTGAAATCACCTACTATAATTGTTGAGGCTGTGATTTCTTTTTTCATCCTTTGAAGTGTTTGCTTGACATATTCTGCTGGATGCTTATTTGGTGAGTAAATGTTTAGAATGCTTATTGATTCTTTATGTAATGTTCCCTTGAGCATTACATAGTGTTCATCCTTATCTCTTTATTGGTTTGCACTTGGAGGTCAATTTTATCTGAGATTAGGATTGCAACCCCTGATTTTTTTTAATTAGAGCTTGACTGATAACGTCTCCATCCTTTGCTTCTCAGCCTGATTTTATCTGTAATGTTGAGGTGTGTTTCTTGTAGGCAGCAGATCGAGGGTTTGTGTTTTTCAAGCCAGTCTATTAGCCTCTGTCTCTTAAGGTCTGAGTTCACCCCATTTATATTCAGGGTTATTACATCTATCTGTGGACCCTGTGTTGTCATTTTCTCTCTCTTGTGTTGGGTGTTTTCCTATCTCCATTTCTTTTCCGTGGAGTGTGCATATGTGTGCTTGCGGTTCATTCTTGCCTTCTTTCCATCGTTGTGCCAGTTTTATCTTGGGGGCTCTTTTCCCTTTGATGGTCTCTGGGTGGAGTTGTTCTGTGTGGTGGTCTCTTGTATGTGCCTGGTGAGTGCTGTTCTTCTGCCCATACTGGTCAGCGAGGATCTTTTGTAGTACTGGGTTCCTTTTAGCATATTCTTTGAGGCTTTCCTTGTCCGGGAAGGTTCTCAGTTGTTCATCTATTTTGATCGATATTTTGGCGGGATAGAGTATTCTTGGGTTTGCGTTAATTTCCTGCACCTTTCGGCATATAGCTGCTCCACTGTCTCCTCTTTTTCATAGCGTCTGCTGACAGGTCTGAGCATATGCTTATCTGCTTGCCTTTATATGTGGTTGTCTGTTTTTCTCTAACTGCTCTCATTATTTTCTCCTTTTCCTCAAAGCTGGATAGTTTAACAACTATATATCTGGGTGACTTCTTCTAGGGATTCAGTCTAGGTGGCATTCTTTCAGCCTCCTCGATAGTTGCCTGGTTTTTGTTCACTAAGTTAGGAAAGTTTTCCTCCAAGCATTCCATCACTATTTTGGATGTTGGTTTCCTTAATGTGGATTCTTCCTCCACACCAATAATTCTGAGGTTGTTCCTTCTCGTAGTGTCAGACATAGCTCTGAGGTTTTCTTCAGCTTCTCTGATTGACCTGTTAGACTTTTTCTCACGTTTATTAATTTCTGCTTGTGACTCCTCTAGGTCACTGGTGCGATTCTCAGCCTCTTTCATTCTCTGGGTGAAGTCCATGAGTTTGCTCTTAATTTTTGTTATCTCGCCCTTTAACTCCTGTATTTCCTTTTGGTGCATAGCCTTTAATTCCTCTATCATTTCATCCTTTTTCTGTATTGCTTCCCTCATGTCCTGTATGGCTCCCAGCAGCATTCTGAAGGTTTCTTTCTGTGGGAGTCAACCTCTGCCCTTCCTATGACTGCCGTTAGGTCCAGGCGGTCCTCTGGCATTTGGATCTTGTTTCTCTTTTCTTGTTGAAGCTGTGGAAGCAGTTTGCGGTTTCCTGTTCTATTTGTGGGCACTTGGTGCCATTTTCCTGGGTGTCTCAGAGCCCTGAGCTCTGTTTGGGAGGTTGTTGCTTCAGCTGGCTGCCTTTAGCCAACTGCCTTGAGGGGTTGTGTGTCACCTTTGTCCTGCTGGGGATTCCCTCTCACCTTCTCCTATGATTTGCTCCAGCCACCTTCAGGTCTCCTTAGGGGCTGTTTGCTACTGTACAAGCTGCGGTCTGATAGAATGTATTGGCCCCAGTGCAGGGGAGCGCATTTAGGGGATGGGTTGGGGATTGGGTGATCTGTTTCTGGCTAGGGGCACTTCCCTCAGGTAGGCAGGTGGGAGGGGGGCTGCGACTGGTGTGCAAATGCACCACTTGGAGCCCAAAGGGTGGGACAGAGTGAGGAGGGAGAAGGGAGAATGCAGTGATAAAGCCCCCAAAACTTGGGTTCCTATGCCGCAGCTGCAGAAAGTTGTGCCAGCTTTGGGTCCTCTGCCTGGCCAGCCAGCAGCGGTGTTACAGGATGCAAATCACTGAGTGCGTGCGTGCGTGTGTCCGTCCCCGCGGGCGCGCCTGGGTGGGCGGGGAGGCCCAGGAAGGGGGCTGGCTGGTGGATCTGCAAGGAGCTCAGTGATGGGGCAGTGCTCCTCTGGGCTGCGACCTTTGAGCGTGCGGGAAGGTCTGTTTGGCGGTTTGCGTGGAGCCCAGAGGCAGGTCCTCAGACTCTGCCTTCCGCCTGGCTGTGGCTCCGGGCGCGCGCCTCCAGGGAGAAGAGGGGAGAGTCTGGCCTGCTGGACCGCGAGGGGTGCGCAGGTGGGGCCCGAATCTGCAGGGGGTGGGGGTGGGGTTGTTGGTTGGAGCACACACACGGGCCCCGGGCTCCCTGTGGCAGGATGGGGGTTCCTGACTGGCAGTTTTGTGCGGAGTGCCGAGGCGGGCGGGCTCAGCCTGCGCCTTGCACCTACCTAGCTGCCTTGTGGCGCAGGTCCCGGCCGAGCGGGTGCGCAGAGTGCCGCACTTGAGACCACGGGTGTCTGCGCGGAGCCCTGGCTATGGGTGGGAGTCCACCTCTGGGTCCGAGAGATGCTCTGAGTGGTCTTGGGAATCGAACAGACAAATTTGGTACCCCTACGCCTTCCCCAACTCTCCCCACTCACCGATCTCCTCAGAGCTCCCGGCTTGAGCTACTTTATCTGGTGGCCATCTTCCCGGTCTCCCCTCGACTGCTATTTGTATTCCACGCACACCTGGTCAGTGGTGAAGCACTGGGACATATGTCTCTAAGGTTTTATCCTCTGGATGAGAGCAGCCTCTGGGTTAACTTACTTGGCCCGTCTGCTAAGCTCTCAAAGAGGGAGCCCGTGTCACGGGGAGACACACTCAAGGTGACCAGAGGACCTGAGTACCAGTCATGATATATAAGCGACCCCAATGCCACTGCGTCAATTCTGACTCACGTTCACTCTCGATAGCCTTTAGGAGGCCCTAAATCTTTATGGGAGCAGACAGCCTCATCTTTCTCCTTCCAAGCAGCTGGTGAGCTTGAACCTCAGACCTTGTGGTTAGCGGAGCAGCAGAACGCCTGGCCCACAGGTCCTCCAGAGTTCCTGGGCGGGCAAACACTAGGTCTATCTCGAGTTCTTAGTGTAATGGAACTTACGATACGTACAGTGGAATATGTGTGAGGGCTTCACAGAGCTCCAGGATGAATGGAATTCTCGCCTTGACTGTGGGGAAGCCCCTCCGTGGTCCTGCTCTTCACGCAGACACGCAGGCTTTCCTTGTGAACCTGCAGTGTTCTTTTTGGGTGGTGGCTCGTTTTCTTCGTACATTTTGTTATGGGTCTTTTGTGCCCAATGGTGGCCGGCAATTCAATGGAGAAGTCATTTTGAAGTGCCCTTGTTCCACAGGTCAGCACGATGGCCAGCTTCCCAGGCAGCATGCCGGGCTGCTGCCAGAGTCCCTCATCTGGGCGTACGTCGTCCAGCTGAGCTCTGCGCTGCGCACCATCCACACCGCAGGGCTGGCCTGCCGCGTGATGGACCCCACCAAGATCCTCATCACCGGCAAGACCAGGTAGGGGTTGCCTCCTGGCCCGGCCGGGTTTACTCACCTGTGACCGCTGCGTGATAAGCAAAGTGTAATGCTGGGTTTTAATTCTGCCTTTTCATATGCCCCATCCAGAGAGCTACTGTGACTGAGCTCATGTGTAAGTTTAAAAAAAAGTACATCTTTATTAAAATGGCTGGTTCCTGGCTGGAAATGTTGAGCAGGGTGGGGAATTGTGTTTGGTTAGGGTGGTGGGACAGGGCTGGATGAGCAGTGTAACTTGAATGAGTAAGTCAGGCATTGGGGCGGGGAGGGTGGGTTCTGTGTGTGTGTGTGTGTGTGTGTGTGTGGTTTTTGCCTTAAAAAGCAAAAAAACCAAGACTTCACAGCCAGACCCACTCGGATTATCTCTAGTCTAGACCTCATGATCTGTGACTCTCACCACATTCCCTCTATTTCAGTTCTAGGGGCTTCATGTCCATTGACGGACTCTCCTGGCCCCCCACCCTCTCCTCATGTATGACTTAAAATAGTTGTTGACCTTCTGTTCTTATATGCAGTCGTTTTTTTTCTTTTTTAAAGTAATATCGCAGTTTTTAAAGTTAACAGTCTTTTACTTTCTGGGCTGAACTATTGACTTCATTTAAAGGTAACTCCAGGGGGTGATTTGCATTTAAGGTTTAATGAGCAACTCAAGGATCCTTCCAGACAGACTCTGGAAGTCTGGGTACTTTTAAGAATTTCTAGTTCTGTTCCACGTCCTCCCCTCCTATCAGGATTCCTTTCCCATCCCTGGTTAGAACGCACAGTGGCAATAGCTGGGCGTCATCTAGTTCTTAGTGGGTTCATGCAGTTTGTCCTGTAATCCAGTTCCGTCTCTTAATTCTCAGGTCACCTGAGGGGGCTTTTTACATAGTTGATTGGCTGTTATTCCCAGAATTGCTCATTCTCTGTGTCTGGGGTGGAACCCAGCAACCTGGATTTCTAGTGAGGTCCTTGGTCAAGCCGACACTGCTGGTGGGGGCCCCACAGATACAGAGCTAGGCTGCGTGGACCTTGACTTCACCTGGTTATGTTGGAGTTGCCGGAACATTGAGCGTATGGTGGGTAGCGTGGCAGGGAGGGCTGTAGACTTGGGACAGGGTTGTCTGGGCGCATCGCCTGGAGGAGCTAGTTACTGTCTGGGACCTCCTGCCAAGTTAAAGTCCTTCCCGGTGTTACCGCACCCTTGCATGGTATAGTCTCTGTCCTCATTGCCATGGTTTATGAAGTGCTCAGCTTGTGTTAGTTACATACTCTTCTGAAAGTTTTATTTTAATCTATTTTCTTTTGATTTTCTGGCCCTTAAAGGTTGCGAGTAAATTGTGTTGGCGTTTTTGATGTTTTAACATTTGATAGCAGTCAGAATAGTAACCCATTGGCATTAATGGCTCAATACCAGGTGAGTAAGAATCAGAACCAATGCTTTCTTAGTGACGTGGGCCCGAGTTTCTGTCAGACAGGCGTGATGAATTAATTATAAAGTGGCACAGGGTGCTTGTTCGGTGGGAGGTGGTTGGAGGGAGGGTTACTGGCTACACTCTCTGAGTGCCATGGTTTTCTCCATCACCACGGTGGCAAGATCTGTGGGAGCCTCATAGTGTATCTTACACACACATGCAGACACGTACACACACTGTGGGGGTGGGGGTGCAGCGACCGACCCTGGCCAAGCAAAAGTGACGACTGTGAGCCCGAAGTGGGGCCTCCGCAGAGCTGGAGACCGATGAGGCGCTGACTAGATGGGACTGGCCGGCAGTGTGTAGACTCAGCCCTAACTGGGGGTCCATGATGGCAGATGGCAGCCCGAGGTGTCCCTCGCTGGGTCATTTGCTCTGTCTCCACGGGCTGAGCCAATCTGTCACTGTGTCCATGACCAGAATCTGATGAGCCTGGTTCCCTCCTCCGAGTGTCACTGGCCGGCCAGTTGCCTCTTGATTGACAGGAGCAGTTCAGTTGGAGAGCCTGCCACCACAGGGAGGCGTGCTGCTGCTGCGTGGACTCAGCTGCACAGTTGCTATGGCAGTTGAAGGACATCATCCCCCACCAGCCAGCTCACCCCCAAGGCCTGCCCGGGACTCTGGGGGGATGCCGCTAGCATTACAGGCAGTGGTGGGTCTTTGTGTTTGCAGTGCACTTGGGACGAGTCGGGCTCTCCTAGTCCCATGGAGAAGCGCAGAAAAACCCACCCTCCCACAGCTGCTCAGTTGTTGAAGGCGTGGAAAAAGATTGTCATTTGAGCCCTGCAAGGTGTATTTCAGAACAAGCAAGCAAGGAAAGGTGGAAGCAGCAGCAGCCAGGGGAGTGGGTTAGCATTTCCCCGGAGCATCAAGGTCTCCTTTTCTTGCTCAGGCATTGAAGGTGCAAGCCCCAGACTGACATTGATCCACCCCGCTGCGAAGCTGCCCTGCGTGGCAGCGCCCCCTGTAGGACCGGACAGGGACACAACCTCCCTGTCTCTTCCCCAACCATGGCTTTGTCCTGCAGCACCCCTTTCTCTTCCCTTCTCTGAGCCCCTTGTTAGCCATTGTCCTTGAGCTACACCAGGACGGCAGGTTTGGGGGATTTACAAATGTGTAGTATTTCCCTTTTGTTGTGACTTTTGTAAAACCTACTGCCATTGAGTCGGTTCCAACCTGCAGTGACTGCTAGCCTTTACAGGACCAGACAGCTTTTTCTTCCTCAGAGCGGCTGACCTGCAGTGAGGCCGTCCAGCCGTGTTTCTCTAGTCGCCTTGAAAAATAGACTCTCGTAAGATAAAACAAGCCCTGGGCCCCAAACAGCAAAGGGGGACACACCCAGGAGGGGGCCTAAGCAAGCACCAGGCCTGACTGCTCTGTGCGTGGGCACCGCCTACCCCTGTAGCTTGGGCGGCCTCCAGTCCTTGGCTGCTCATTCCTCATTTCTCAGCACGGATGGGACATGGGGCTTCTTTCTGTGTGTGTTTGCACACGCGTATATGGGATCCAGCATTGATTGCCACATAGCTGGCTGTGAAGTGCAGGCGAGAATGAAAGCGTGTCCACAAAGCTGGAGCATGGAGGTGGGGGTGGGGGTGAGTCTTCAGAGAAAAGTCTCCTTCCCCGGTCTGCTTTTTACACCCTGCTCCCGACCCAAGCTAGAGCCTCTGAAGACTCGGAATACACAGCCAGGACTCCGGAAAGTCAGGACTGATGGCAACCAGACGCCAACTAGAAATCAGCTGTCTCTGAGCACTCTTTGAGTCGCAGGAGCCTCTCACTGGAACAGCAACAGGAAGCCTGTGTCAGTTTGTGTCACACAGTTTTATTCCCCCAAGTGGGGGCCCCGACCTGAGACAGCTAGGGGGAGGTGGCCAGATGTGCCCACCTAACCCTACACCTCTTTTCGAAATCATCATCAGGCATAGGGCGGTTATGCTTTGGGCTGCTAACCAGTGGGTCAGCAGTTCAAACCCAGCAGCCCTGCTGCAGGAGAATGATGAGGCTGTCTGCTCTCTTAAAGATTGACAGACTCAGAAACTCAGACTCAGAAACTCACAGGGCAGTGCTACCTGTTCTATGAGGACACTGAGTTGGGATTGATGTTAATCGTAGTTCCTTGCCTCACCTTGAATATAGTCCAGCCAGTGTGTCGGACTGACCTGAAACATCTCAGAGCACGGAAGCCTGCCTGCCAGCCCTGTTGTTCCCTCTCTGTCTCTGATTGAGAGAGGGAGACTCTCTGTCTCTCTCTCTCTCTCTCTCTCTCTCTCACTCAGATGAACATTCCAACATGTGTTTCCATCGTGGACATGTGACTTGCTCCTGGGTTGGGTGGGCTCTGGAGAGCAGAGGGGAGGTGGAGATTTTTCACAAACTCATTATCAAGGAATGGGCAGAGTCCCCTGATTTGCTGGAGGGCCTCTGGCCACATGGGCAGCAGCGTAGTACCTGTGAACCCCAAGTGACAGTTGTGTGTGTTCTTTCATGTCAGCAAGCAGATTTGATCTCATTAGGAAAAGTCGTGCTGGCTTTGGCTTGCAACTCCCTGTCAGGGATTCAGCGGGATAACGTGCCGAAAGCCATGGAGCTGGTGACGATGAGCTACTCCTCCGACCTGAAGAACCTGATTCTGTGAGTGTCCTGGGGGCTCATGCGGCAGACGCCACGCTGCCCTCAGGCTCCCGGGCTTTGGTCCCTGTGGGAAGGGTGGGGCAGAGACTGGCCCAGGGTGTTTCATTCCCAGCACACAAATGACGGCGTGTGCTCCCGCTTACTCATTGGCTTGAGCTCCTGTGTCAGGCCTGTCACGCAGCCTGGTGTGTCCTGAAACCTGAGTGACAAGTGTCACACCACCCCCTGCAGTCGAGTCCAGTCTGAGTCTGGGTTGTGCAGACCAGAGCTGTGCTCCAGAGGGTGTGACCTTCCAGAAGCAGATCCCAGGCCACCAGCTGCAAAGCACTGGGCAGGTTGGAACCACCAGCCTCTTGGCTAGGACAGTAGTTCTCAGCCTTCCCAGCGCCTTGACCCTGTCATATGATCCCTCATGTGGTGGTGACCCCCCAACCATAAAATTAATTTCGTTGCTACTTCATCACTGCTATGTTGCTACTGTTATGAATCAGGTGATCCCTGTGAAAGGGGCCTTCAAACTCCAAAGGGGTCTTGACCCACAGGTTCAGAACCGCTGGGCTAGGAAGTCAAGCAAGAGTTTAACCATTCGCCCAGGGAGCTTCCAGGCTGAGGCATTTGGACCACATTGACATCAGAGGCCCACTAGGGTGGAGGCTGTCCACTGGCCTGTGATCCAGAGGGCCAACATCTCTGAACCACCAGCTGTTCTGTGGAACAAGGATGGGCTTTTCTACTCCTGTAAAGAGTTACAGGCTCGGAAACTCACAGGGCAAATCTGTCCTGCCCTCGAGGGTCGCTGTGAGTCCACCATGACTTGATGGCAGTGAGAGAGACAGGTGGGTTGGCCAGGCACTGATGACTGTCCACACATCCAACCACAGGTAGACTGGCCACGAGAAGCGGGCCAGCTTCTGGAGCGCACCTCTGGGGGGGGAGAGAGTGAGTGAACGTGGCAACAAATAAGACGGCTGTGGAGAAAATCAGGCTGAGCAGGCGCAGGGGTGAAAGCGTCAGGAGGCAGTCACTTTTCTGTCAGAAGCACCAGTTGATCCACAAATGGAGGGTCTTTGGATTCTAGTTCACACTTTCTTGGTTCGTGAGACCATCAGGTTCGCCATTGGATAGGGTCCTCATGAGACAGAGAAGCATTGCCCGACAGGGAGTCCAGACTGCCAGTCTGTCTTCTCTCCCACCGAGCACCTGCCGCCAGCCTTTCTGTTGGAGACTGAGCACTTAACTTCTGTACCATCTGCACTTGTTGGCTAATTAAGACAGGACACTGGAATTATCATAAAAGTTATTATGAAAAAGAAGATACTAAATGGGTCTCGGCTAAATTAGTGCTCAGCTCTTCCCAGAGAAAAGAAGTGGAGCCGTCAAGCTTTTAACAAGGAAATGGCCTTGCATGCAAACAAATGAGCACATCCCTTTGTGGACGTGTATGCAGGGGCTGGGCATGGACAGTGGGGCCACGCAGCAAGTCATCTCTCTCTCTCTGTGTCTGTCAGGTACTTGCTGAGTGACCAAAACCGACTGAGGAGTGTGAATGATATCATGCCCATGATTGGCGCTCGTTTTTATACCCAGCTGGATGCTGCTCAGATGAGAAATGACGTCATAGAGGAGGATCTGGCAAAGGTAAAGAGCAGTGTGGTCCAGGGGTTGGGTGCCCGGCACCTGCATGGTGGATTTAAAACAAGCAGACGGAGACCTTCGTCTTTAACCTGCGGGATAGGTGTACTGTTGGTTCAGAGATGACTGGCAGGTATTTTTGCCCCAACGTGATATTTGGAATTTAAATGGTTCATCTCCTGTGGGCATTTTTTTCTTCCTCTCTTCATTTTTGCTCCGGGCTTTGCACTAGACTCTGGGTCCTCCCTGGAGTTGCACTGACAGTCGCTGAATGCAGTGGACAGATGTGTAAGCAACAACCAGGAGGAGGGGCTGGTGGGCTTTGTTGTTTGGAAGTGCTGCTGGTGCACGCTGCGAGGGGTGCTTGTGCCCTTTGCTTTCTCATTGTCAGTGTGCTCTCGTCCTGAGCGGTAACGTGCTTCCTCTGAAATGTCTTTCAGGAGGTTCAGAATGGAAGACTGTTTAGGCTGCTAGCGAAACTGGGAACCATCAACGAGCGACCAGAGTAAGGGTTTGCTGTCTCTTCATCTTTCCCTCCTTTGGGTTGGATTTGCCAAAACCAGAGAAAAAACACCAGACCAAACTCCCCCTGTGAAGGAATGTGAAGTCCTTGTCAGCCACTGGAGAGCTGCCCTGCCACAGTAGCCTGGCAGCCCCTCCCTTCCCAGAGGGGCAGGGGGCGGGGGAGGTGAGGGGGTGGTGCTAGCCACCTCAGAAGGGCTCCTGGCCCTTCTGTAGCCTCCTCTCTGAAGCTGGTACCTGAGAGAGCCTGCTGGGCTTACCGCTTTTTTGCCCCTGAAGTTCAAGTCCACTTGCTTTGTTTGCAAAGTCAAATTCTTTAGCCAGGCTCTCGAGGCAAGGGATGCCAGGGTAACCACAGGTGCAGGGCCATGTTGTGACAGCTCTGACTTCTGGTATTCATACCATTTCTGAAGAGCATACACTTGCAATGCTGTTTCTTCCTTCTTTTTAATTCAGCGTGTGACTTTGTACCATACAGGAGGAGAATGTCTCTGTCCCGGGCGGGGCTGTGTACATTGTGGACACAGTGCTGCCCGGGGGAACCCTGCCCACAGCTCCACCACACAGGGAATCCTGCTGCCCTTCCCTTTCCTTTGCACAGTTATTTTGTGGATTTTGTTATGTTTTATTTTCCCGTAATTGGTAATTGTTGTAGACAGAAAACTAAGCACACAGAACCACAGACAAATACGTCACACCCTTCTGCCAGAGTGATGAAGCCCCTCTTGGTGTTGCCTCAGTGGGTAGTCCCCCGGGTCCTTTACTTATTCCAGCGCCCTGCCCCTGCGTGCACACACACCCCCACCTCTGCTGCTCATTTAGAGGTTCATCTCTCTTCTCCCCCCTTCCCCCAGTGTTGGCTCCTGGGGCTGGCTTTGCCCTGGGTGGTGGGTGTGCAGCCCTCTGCTTCAGTGGAACACACCATCCCACAGCTTTCTGAGAAGGGGGGGAAGCTGCTTTTGAGCCCCTGCAGGTCCAAAAATAGCCTTACTCTCCATCCTGACACTTCATTGATAGAGTGGCTGGCTATCACATTTTGGATGGGGGTGGAGGGTAGGGAGAACTATTCAATTTTTTTTTGGATAAGGTTATAGATCTCCATTTCTCAACCTGTGGCCCGTGACCTCTTTGGGGGTCAAATGACCCTTTCACAGGGGTTGCCTGATTCATAACAGTAGCAAAATGACAGTGATGAAGTAGCAACGAAAATAAATTTATGGTTGGGGGCGGTCACCAAAACATGAGGAACTGTATGAAAGGGTCATGGCATTAGGAAGGTTGAGAACCGCTGGTATGTATGCACATATTTCTTAGAAATTAGAACATTCTAGTACTTAGAAATTAAAAAGGAAAAAAAAAAGAAATTAAAAAGGGTTGCCATGAAGAAAGTATTCTGTCTTTCCAGAGTACAGATACAATTAGATATTCGTACTTCCCCTCACATATGCACGCACCCTTTTGATTTCAGTTCTTTTGAAGTGTGAAGGATTCACAGTCGGCATCTATCTATGGAAGCAGCAGCCAGGAAGTCAAAGGATGCACTGAGTTAGGCAATCTAGTGCAAAGACCCCTGGAAAGTGTGTGAGGCCCCGCAGGCACGGGCAGTGAGTTTTAAAGTGAGGTGAAGGGCTTCTCCCCTTTCTGTGCTCCGTTTTGTTAGATGGGTACATGTTAGGTGACCGTAAGGTCTCTACAACAGAATAAAGCACTCATGATCCGGCCCACACTTAACAATCATTGCTGTGCCTGAACCTGTTTCTGCAGCACTGTTGTTTGTTTGAAGATCATTTTACTGTGGGCTCTTACAGCTCTTAAAATAATCCATGCTTCAGTTGTGTCAAGCATATGTGTACAATGTTGCCATCGTTATTTCCTACATTTTTACTTTATATTTGAACCCTTGGTATTGGCTCCTCTTTCTCTACCCCACCCCCACCCTTGTGACCCCTTGATAAATTGTGAATTATTATTATTTTCATATCTTACACTGACCACTGTCACCCTTTCCCCACAGTTTCTGTTGTTTATCCCCCTGGGGTGGGGGAGCACCCTTTTAATATGTAAACTTGGAAACCATGCTGGGGTTCTGTACATTGCTTTTGTCTCTCAGTGATGTATTTTGGAGATCTCTCTATTTAGGTCACTTTAGTACATACCAAGCACTGTGTAAATGAGGAAGGAGCCCTGGTGGCATAGTGGGTTGTGCCCTGAGCTGCCAACTCCTAGATCAGTGGTTCAAGTCTACCAGCTGCCCCTCAGGAGAAAGAGGAGGCTGTCAGCTCTTATAAAGGGTTTAAAACCATCAGAAGTCCAGAGGGGCAGCTCTTTCCTGGGTGGTGAGGTGGTCACTATGAGTTGGATGGGCTTGACAGCAGGGGGCCTGTCTGGCTTCCACACGTGCGAAGCCTGGTGGCGTAGTGGACACTGCACTGGGCTGCTAACCGAAGGGTTACCAGTTCAAACCACGAGGCAGTCTGCTTCCTCAAAGATGGACACACTTTGGGGGATGCTGTTGAGCAGGAGTCGGTTGCCACCTGCAGTGACCCCGTGAACCACAGAAGGAGACGCTGCGCCGTCCTCACAGTTGTTCCCACGCCTGAGCCCAGGGCTGCAGCCACTGTGTCCGCCCAGCTCCTCGAGGGCCGCCTCCTCTTCGCTGTTCCTCCACTTTCCCAAGCCCCGTGTCCTTCTCCAGGGCCGTCTCTCCTGACGCCACGTCCAAAGTTTTGCTGTCCCCTCATGTGAGGAGCACTGTGATTGACCATTGCAGACCCACCTGTGCGAGGTGCCAGAGCGCCTACCAACATCGTTTTACCAAACCTGTAGCTGCTTGTCCTTCTGTGTGGGGGTGGGGATGGGACCGGCGGCCAGGGTTTGGCCCCCATGGCATCCTGTGTTGTGTTTACTCCGAGCCCATGCAGGTGTCTGCTGACCCGTTTGTCTCCATTCCTCTGTGTTCTCACGAGGTGGGAGGCATATTTTCTTGTCAAAGGGTCAGTCTTTGTGGACAGAGCCTCACTTTGTGTCCGACTGGCTAGCAGACATTGTTGGACCTGTTCTAATTTACATGAATTCTAAGTCACCTTGTTCTCATGCTCCTGGGCTGCAGCCACTAGTTAGGTACGGGAGGAGGGGGGGGGCCCCCCCGCGAGCTGAGTGCTGGGCCTCAGCGGGCTCCTTTTATGCACAGCAGCGAATCCTGCCAGCATTTCCCATCCATCTCACCAGACCCATGCAGGCAAGGGGACGTTGTGTGTCGGTGTTTGTGTGGTGCTGTGGACTCGGCTCTGACCCATAGTGTCTGTGTGCACGAGAAGGAAGCCTTGCATGCTCCTTCCTGCACCATCCTCACAGGAGTTCTCTGCCTGCGCCCTTGATGCTGCCACTGTGTCGCCACATCGCTTTGAGGGCCTCCCCCTCGCCACCACTCCACTGTAGCAAGCCTGATGTCCTCCTCAAGGGCCTGACACAGATGTCCAGAGTGTGGAAGGCGAATTTGTTCTCCGTGCCTCTGGAGTGCTCCGACCATGCTGCTTCCTACAGATTGCTCTGGCCTTTGGGCACTCCATGGCACTATCAGTAACCTTCTTCAGCACCAGAGTGCAATCAGATTCATTTAGAACCCTTCTTCACCTTTTCAGTGATAACCAGATACGATACCCCATCTCTATCCCTGGACTGTGCCTTCCTGGTGCACGTAGGACCTGGGCCTCGGGCAGGATGCGTCCAGCAGGCCTCGGCCTCCTCCTCACCTCACTCAGCCAGGCTTCTCCGCAGGCCACTCCGAGCAGCGCTTCTCCCCTCAGCTGTAATTCCTTGCATCCATTACAAGTAACAGTAACCCAGTTAACCATTTCTCAAAGACCGTGGTCCTAGTCACACCCTCTATTAAACCCCAACTCCAAACTCACTGCCATCGAGTCACTGACTCACGGCACCCCCGTGGGTCCCCTCACCATCCTGGAATCATTGTGACTCATGGCACCCCCGTGGGTCCCCTCACCATCATGGAGTGGGTGTGACTCATGGTGCCCCCACGGGTCCCCTCACCATCATGGAGTCGGTGTGACTCACGGTGCCCCCCATGGGTCCCGTCACCATCATGGAGTCGGTGTGACTCACGGTGCCCCCCATGGGTCCCGTCACCATCATGGAGTCGGTGTGACTCACGGTGCCCCCCATGGGTCCCCTCACCATCATGGAGTTGGTGTGACTCATGGCGCCCCCTGTGGGCCCCACTCGGCCACCAGGCTTCTACCCTGTAGTAGGGTCAGGTCTTAACCCCATCTTACTCCTGTGCATTAGCAGATCATGCCCTCCACAAATGGGACTGTAGCCTCAGGTGTGAGAAGCCCAGAATGGTCATAGATCATGGAAGGGCCCTATTGACTGACTGACAGCTGTACCTACGTTCACCTGCTGTTGGGCTCAGCCAACAAAAATCTAGCAGTAACCTGGATACCACAAAACATGGGTAATTTAAAAAACTTCTCTACTGCCATTGGAGGATTTAAAACAAAATATACCAAAACAGAATACAAACAAACAAACAGAAAACACCTGAGGAGCTGATGCCGGGGGCTTGGGTGGAGAGCGGATGTTTTGAGAATGATGAGGGCAATGAATGTACAAATGTGCTTTACACAATTGATGTATGCATGGATTGTGATAAGAGTTGTATGAGCCCCTAATAAAACGATTAAAAAAAACAAAACCCTCCACCCAACCCTGTTATTCCTTATTTACTGGGAGCAGACAAGTTTTCGGTCTGAAGAGTGAGGTGTGGCATGAGATGTTGGGACTGAGCTGATGTAAAGCCTTCTCCGCCAGGTTCCAGAAGGACCCTACTTGGGCCGAGACCGGTGACCGCTACCTGTTGAAGCTCTTTAGGGACCACCTCTTCCATCAGGTGACAGAAGCAGGTGCTCCCTGGATCGACCTCAGTCACATCATTTCCTGTCTGAACAAGGTAATGTCCCTCTGCTCGTGGGGCCTTGCACTCAGCGATGTGTATAAGGGGCCATCAAAACGTTCATGTCCACACGCTCTCTGATGTTGGGCTTCTGTAGCTCCTGGGAGCTGGGGTCTCTGAGCCATGGGGCACAGCCGATGCTTAGCAGTGGTGCCAGTAGAGCTCCTTGCGGACCAGTCCATGCTTGTAAAATACTTGTAGATATCTGGGAAAGAATGGCAAAAATTCACATCTATTTTCCTGAGGGGGCTTGAAAGAGTCAGTAGGAAAATGGAATTATAGTAAAGTGGAATTTTCCCAGGAACTTTTGAAGGCCCCTCGTATGTACCTGTATATGTGTGTGTTGTAGTATTGGACGCACACACACTGTGGCAAGTGTCTTTCTGAGAGCAAGTGGACCCTGACCCTCCTGGGTATGTGTGTGTTGACATAGGATTGACTTAGCAGCATCTCTCTCACACACACACACACACATACACACATACACACACACACACACACACACACACACACACACACACTGTAGCCCTGTGACAGGTCTACCTGACCGTCACTGTGTGTGTGTTGACCCAGCGTCAGCCACGCTCACACGTACAGTGTAGTGCTATCGGGTGGGAGGGGGGTGAGGGGCGCCTGGCCCCGACCCTCACGCTGTGCACGTGTGTCCCTGGTTCAGCTGGACGCAGGTGTGCCCGAGAAAATCAGCCTCATTTCCCGAGACGAGAAGAGCGTCCTCGTGGTGACGTACAGTGACTTGAAGCGCTGCTTTGAGAACACGTTCCAAGAACTGATTGCGGCAGCCGGTGGCCAGTTGTAGTCTTTGTGGGAGCAGACAGCCCGCCGGACACTGCTGAGGACCTGGACCGATCGCCAGCTGCCGTCAGTCATCTCATGTCACACCTGGGGACACAGCAGGTGCGCAGGCTGCTCGCACTTGAGTCAGGTACACTGTTACTTGAAGAAGACTGGCTGGTGCTTGGTGGCACCCTGGCTGCCAGCGGGGCCATCCCTGCCTGGAGTCTGCTTTAGCTTAAGGGACGCCAACCCACCCCCACCCCCCACCTGTATATGCACTAATTTTACTTTTTTACAGAGACATTTTTTTCTGACCTTTCAGCTCTTTGCCACAATGTAGACTTATCAAGGGGCACTGTTTCCAAGGCCATTTCATGGCAGCCGTGGTGGGCAGCTGTGTGTGTCCCTGGGGAGATTGCGGTGGGGGGGCTGCCCGGGAGGCTTATCGGACCAGGTAAAGTTGTCCTGGAAAGACAGTGTAGTGGTTGTTCTTGCCACTGTGCTGCCCGCCGTTGGTGCCCAAGTGTGCTTTTGGCACTGGGTGGCAGGCCCACTGGGGGAGTGCCGGAGAGTGAACCTTGGTGTGGACCCGCCCCAAGGCCGGGGCATGCACACCACCACCAACGGCCTGCCCACCGGCAGCTCTGTGTTCAGACGCCACTGAGCCTTTCAGGAGTGAGTGGAATGAGCGAGGCTTCCCTGCCCGCCAGCTGCAGCTCCGTGTATGCAATGCGCTTTCTCTGAGGAGAGAGAGACTGAGAGACGACGTTGTTCGTTGTTAGAGCCTCAAGTTCAGGAAAGGGTGGCTCTGTAGGTGTGCTTGCAGTTTGCTGTTAGGCTCTGGTTTGTTTGGGGTCTGAAGTCCTGCTCAGCTTTATTACGGTACTTGACACTGGATAATACACGGAGACTCTGCTGCCAAGAGGAACGGCGCAGCAGTGGTCTGGCGCCCGGAGCGTGCTGGAGCTGTCCAGCCCATACCTGGAGCCACGTCGGCGTCCTGCTGTGCCTTCGCAGTCCCTGCTTAGCCCAAAGTCATGGACGTTTTGATAATGAGCTCCCTCTGGGGGACGGCCCACACAGCGTCGATCTCAGCGCGGCCCTAACGGTCTCTGCTCATCCTCCTTAAACACTGGGGCCATGCCATGGTCGCCAAACGCCGCGGGGTTATAGTTAAATGCTTATACTTTGATACTGAAGACTGCCAAATACATAGGAATTTTCTTTCTTAAAAAAAAGTAAAACAAAAAAATTAGCAAACAAAACCAGACACCTACAAACAGGAAGCGCGTGATGAGGACTTGTTCTCCTTCCCTGGCCCGAGTGTTTTCCCACGGGGCACTCCCCATGCTGCTCTGGTGCCCGGGGGTGGGGGCCAGGGTGGCTGGCGCCTCAGGCCTCTCTTTTAATAACAACATCGCCTTTGTAGTTTTCAGAGATGTTTTTACGACCCCTCCACTTTTTTATGAGCTTTAAAATGACTGCCTCGATTTGCCACCTGAAAAAGCAATTCCCCCCATTTTTTTCTCTTATGCACGCTCTTTTGTGACCCAAAAGCTCTGAGGACCAGAGTCCGCCCTCCCCCCCCCCCAACCCCCTGGCACCCCCTTGGTGACTCATGCCAGCCCAGGTCTGGTAGCACCCGGGTGGGGCCGAGTGACAGCGAGCATCCGATACTGCATTTGGGATCAACGGATTAGACGGTGGGACAGAGCGTTGACTCATCCGAGGATCACTCACACTGGGCACCATCATCTTTTACCTGCATGTGCGCACACGCACACGGAACAAGAACTAGAGAGACCTGGAACACAGTCGTCTTTTATCATTACTAGCTCCTGTATTTGAGGAAGAGCAGCTGTCTTTTTTATATGTTTTTTGACAAATCATATTGTAATTCTTTTGTACAAAAAAAAAGACTTGTATTCTATAAGAAATATGAAGTGCTTAACTTATCAGCGGGCTGGAGATTCCTGTTTTCCATGTTGTTTTCTTTGGAAAGGAAAAGGGGTCATACCTCTCTCTTTGGTTGGGGGGTTGGGGAACTTTCCGACCAGTGAATTGTGGACCAATGCTCTGTGAGAGAAGAGGAAGGGAGGGCGGGGCTCCCTCGCGACCAGCAGGCTGTGTTCTGCAAGGCCATTCCAGTCACCCACCCGAGCGTTGCATCACGTGGGCCTGGGGCTCCAGCCCCTGGTGGCCTCAGGACTTGGGGGACTTTACATGATGGACAGCAGGTGTTTTCATGAGTAAATACCCTACCCCCCAAAGAAAATCACAGAACAGTTGGTGTCAGGTAAAGCATATGTATTTCTAGTTTTGTTTTATATTTATTTTTCATTGAGAACTTTTTTTTGGTTTTTATTTACCCCCCCTCCCCCAAAGAGAACTCTCTCTCACTTCTGCCTTGCTGTTTTGGGGAGTCCTCCTTTGTCCACAGTGTAATTCCACGTAGGGGGTGTCTCTGCGCTAGTCTGAGTGGTTCGTGGAGGCTTTTGGGATCTGGGAGGAGTCCCACGGAAGAGCCACATTCCCTGGATCCTCCATCCCGGTAGCCTTCACGCCGCCAACCACGACAACCCCTGGAATCATGTCACCTCACCAGTGCCATTCTTCAAGAGCTGTTTCTGTCCCGATTTCCAGTTCTGTGCGGTGCATCTGCTTCATTGTAAATACCTGAGGGTCCTTTGTCACTTCGTCCTGTGGCCGTGTGTCCAGGATGTCCCGCCCGAGCCCCGTCTGTTCTGTTCTGTTCCAGCGTCACGGGCTCGAGACGCCTCCCCCATCTCCACTCCTCTCTTCAGTCCTATGTGTACAGCATTATTTTTAATAAAGAATTGCAGAAGCAAGCTCGCCTTTGAGTTCCGTTGACAGGTGAGAGGTGTGCGCGTGCGCTGGCGTCTGGTGATGAGAACCGAGGAGTCGTGGGGGCTCGGGCGGCGGCAGTGGCTGAGCTTACACACAAACAGTACTTGCCCAGTGCTGCCTCGGCCTGAGGTCTCTGTCCCAGGCGCTGAGACCATCGGGAGTCGGACGAGTCCACTTCTGCGTAACGGAAGGGGGCACTGCAGGGTTTAGATTCAACCTTCCTAATGCCAAGACCCTTTAAGACATTTCCTCATGTGGAGGGGACCCCCCCCTCCCCCACCATAACATTATTTTCGTTGCACTTCATAACTGTCATTTTGCTGCTGTTATGAATCGGGTGACCCCTGGGAAAGGGTCGTTCGACCCCCAGGTTGAGAACCACTGCTCTACAGGGTAGCCATGAGTCAGAATTCACTCGATGCCAGGGGTTTGGGATCTTAAAGAAGGATTTTCCCAGGCCAATATCAGAACCCCCTTAGGAAAAATACAGGGTGGGGGTTTCTTCCAAAAGTTAGTGGGAACGCTTCATTATCTTTCGTTCCGCGTTCATTTCCCCAGGAGCGCTCTAGAGGGCCATTGTGATTCCGGGTGGGAAGCTGGCTGGGTCTGCTTCAGTGAGGGTCGGGGAGGAAGCCGGGTTGTGGTGGGTTTGGAGGAGAGGCGTAATGTCCTGGGTAAGCACCTTGGAGGCTGTGCTATCAAGGGGGACGGAGAGGCGGGCTGGTAGCTGGGGGATTGCGGTTCTGAGAGATGGGGAGCAGTGGTGACCAGGGGACTGGTGGTGCTAGAGCAGCAGGACAGGGTGGCATTCCCCCACTCTCCACCTCCCAGACAGGATGCTGCATAAAGACCTGCAGGTGCAGCTGGGTGGGAGACAGGTTGGGGCATGGGAGACGTTCCCTCTCCCCGTCCAAGTGAGGATACCCTTCCTCATCGGATCTACCACGTTGGGGGCTGTGCTGTCCTGGAAATGCAGTGAGTGCGTTGGTCTGCAGCCCCTGGAGTTGACCGTTGCTGGCCTGTGGGGAGCATTCCCATGGCACCAGAGGGTTAGCTCCCACTTGCCCCCATCTAAGGCGCCCCGGTGGTGTAGTCACGGTGAGGTGCTGGGCTGCTAACTGCAAGGGCAGCAGCTGGAAGCCACCAGCCGTGCCAAGGAAGAAGGACGAAGCTTTCAGTCACGGACATCCCCAGGGGCAGCTCTGTTAGGGCCCTGTGTTTCAGGAGAGGAAGAGTATGCCATCCACAGATTGTACCGAGCCCAGTAAATGTCACAAGTCAGTGCACCTGCATGCTGGTCCCCCCCACTCCCCACCCCAAGAAATGTAGTTTGTTTGGGGTGGGTACATCCCCCTTCAGTGTTTAGTTCACCAAAAAAAGAAGCTACCCCTGTCTTCCCAGATCCAGACTCACCGTACCGCGATAGGTCAGGGTGGGACTGCCCCCGTGGGTTTCTGAGACGGCCCTCTGTGTGAGCAGAAAGCCTGTCTCTCCCTCTGCAGCAGCAGTGGAAGGACTACTGTTTGTTGGAGAACATTCTAAAGGTTCAGTGGGGTGACTGTACAACTTTCATGTGTTCAAACTACCGAGAGGGGTGGTATGTGAATTGTGCCAATGGAACTTAACAGATTTGCAAAACACAATCAAGAGGACTCCGACTGGCCCACCGAATGGAACGCCCCTGGTCCCGTGCCATCCTCACCGTCCTAGAGAAAGGAGGGTCTGAGAAGGGCCAGAGGGACCGTCCCACTCTGTCACAGCCCCCAAGCAAGGGCTCCAGGACCCTGCACCCTCACTGTGGTCTCCTGCACACGAGTGCCTGGGTAGATGGCAGCGCGCACAGAGGGGCTCTTGGGGAGCAGCTGGTGGTTTGAACTGCCGGCCTCGCGGCTAGTGTGTTTAACGACAGCTCCCCCGACAGCAGTCATGTCCCCCCACTTGCAGGGCAGCCTCTGACCCTTATGGGCACTTAACAAGCCAGTCAGGAAGCAGATGGGTGCTTTGGCAGTTAAGTTTATTATATGGAGATTGTGTACAAAATACATTCATAAATGACTAGAAATATAGGACCAAACTGTGTCTTGTATCTGCAGCATATACCCTTGGCTTTTATATAAGTATTTTTTAAATTCCAGTTTCCTTAAATAGGCACACATACATACACACTCTTATATACACACGTGTGGTCGCCTCCACCATCAGTCGAAGACAGGCTTCTCTCCGTCCACCTGGGAGGGGCTAGCAGGTGGCTCTCACGCGCCACATTCGCCTCATCTGGGCTACATTGCTGAAGCATTTGGACACTCGGCGGGGTGGCCTGACCATGGCCCCTGGGAGGAGCGTTCAGCATCCCCGACCCCCACCCCGAGGAGACGCATCACCGAAAAGGAAACACGCGTGCCTGGGTGGGGTGCCAGAACCCAGGCTTCTGACAGCACTGTCCTTGAGTTGGGCCCCCAAGCTTTCAGTAGGTGCTGTCCCGAGGGGCCAATCTGTCGGAAACACCTCATGGCTGGAGACTCGCCCTTCTGGGCTTCCCCTTTGGTGTGAAGCCATTGGGGGTGGGGGAAGCTTCATGACCTTTTGAGGGGCGGGCTCCTGTGAGCGACAGACCTGAGTGACTGGGGTAGCAGGAATCGTCAGCCCCTTAGCGTCTCCGCGAGGAAGGCGGGCCCTGACAGAGACCTCAGATGGAGGCTCAGCCTCTGCTCTGTGCTCCCTGATTGCTCGTGAAACCAGAGGGTGGCAGGGGCCCTGGTTCCCCACCGCTCCTCCTGGCTGTGCTGTGTGTCCACGTGGCTCTGGGAGGGTGCAAAGAAGGGGACGTGCTGGGCTCTCTGGTGGCCGTGGATGGACACCCTGTGACCCAGCCTCGGCCTCCCAGGCTCTCGTGCCTCCAGAGTGCCTTTCCACAAAGTGACGGGTGTCATGGTACCCATGGAGTCACGCTGTGTGTGACCCAAAGGGAACTATGCTGCTCCCAGGCCCCACTGCCATCGCATGGGCTCCCCTCACGGCTGTCCTGCAGGCTGACCCTCTCAGTGGGGGCATGGAGCCTCATCTTCCTCCCGCTGGACGCCACTTCCCAGTGCCACCAGGGAACCTGGTTCCTTTCCCAGGCCCACCAGTCAGGTGCCAACATCCTGACGACAGAGAGGGCGAGTCACAGACACCCAGCCTGGCTAGGCTGCAGAGCCAGGGCCCCAGCCCTTCCTTGACCACACGCTCCTCATCACCCACCTGGACAAAGTCCCACGTGGGCTAAGGGGGACTCATGACCACTGCATGTCCCACTCCTCACCTTTCTGGCCACACACCCAGCCTGGCTAGGCTGCAGAGCCAGGGCCCCAGCCCTTCCTTGACCACACGCTCCTCACCACTGACCTGGACAAAGTCCCACGTGGGCTAAGGGGGACTCATGACCACTGCATGTCCCACTCCTCACCTTCCTGGCCACACACCCAGCCTGGCTAGGCTGCAGAGCCAGGGCCCCAGCCCTTCCTTGACCACACGCTCCTCACCACCGACCTGGACAAAGTCCCACGTGGGCTAAGGGGGACTCATGACCATTGCATGTCCCACTCCTCACCTTCCTGGCCACGGGTCACCTGTCAGCCCTGGGCTAACACTCTTCCAGGAGGCTGGTGGGGTGGGGGTGGGGCACACTGGCTGTGCTTTAGGTCAGAACAGTCTGGCTGCTGGGCCCGTCCTTTGGGTCGAGAGAGCCCATCCTCTCAGCGGTCCGGGGTCCCCACAGTGGAGTGTCTGCACCAGGCATGAACAGAACACTGCGAACACAGACTTAGATGGGACACACGCACACAGATGAGGCGACCACCTCATGGAGTTCGCGCAGGGTCTCGGCCGGTGCTCTGGGGGCAGCGGCAGTGCCAAGCGCCAGGCCCCGGGGCAAATGGCCAGGCCAGCTCCCTGCCTCTGGTTCAGATTCACTTTGCGGTTCCAGCTACACATATATGTCCCCTCCAGACCTGGAGGGAACCCCTCAGGCCCCGCCCTCCCTGTCCCCGTGGACTGGGTGGATGGTGGCACTCAGGTGGCCTTGCTGCATGCCACCCTTCACCCTCTCCTTCCTCATGTGAGGCGCTGCCCATTCTTCTGGAACCTGCTACTGCAGCTGTGGACCTCCTCCCTACCCTCCCCCACAAGGGACAGGCCAGGCTTGCCCGGGCTGTAGGGCACTGGCAGTGCCCTGGCTGGCTTCAGAAAAGTCATGCACCACCAGATTAAACAAATCCAAGGACTTTTCATTCCAGTCTGTATGAACGATCTGAAGCCCCCTCCTCAGATTTCCCAAAGGGCCTGGAAGTGCCCACCCTGGGGGCCCTGAGGTCTCGGGTGGGGCTGGGCTCTCTGGAGCCCTGCCTACCCAGTGACCTGGCCACAGCGCTCTCCCCTCCTCACTATGTCTCTGTGTGTCTGGTTTACATTCGTGTTAGTCAGTGTAAAGGGGGAAATAAAACAAGGCAGATTAAACGGGGTGGGGGAGCATTCCCTGTGCGGAGGGGGAATGGGCGGATGTGTCTAAGCAGGGACTGTCAGGTGCGGCCGGCCTCCTGGCTCTGGGACGCTCGGGCCCACTAGACGGGCGGGGTGGCGTACAAGACCACCGAGTTGTAGTCTGGGGGCGGCGAGCAGCTCCACATCTCCTTCTCCAGCTCTGAGGGGTCGTAGGTGAAGCGGCGGCTGCCCCCCTGGGAGTGCCCACAGCTGGAGGGGCGCACCGGTCGGTGGATATCTGGAAGCCCCGACTCCTTACTTTTGCTGGTCACTCTTAGGCTGAGAAAGGGCGGACAGACACACAGGGAGAGGCAGAGGTAAGAGCTGGGAGCTGGTGGGTCACTGGGCTCCAGCCCCACCTCCAGGGAAAGCAGGTCCAGGCCAAACCCATTGGCCCCATGTGGGTCCTGACTCAGAGTGACCCCCAGGGTTCAGGGAATTAACGCCAAAGCGTTCCTAAGGCTGTCAAAGTGACTGGAAGCCACCACTGCTCCGCGGGAGGCTTTCTACTCCCGTCAAGAGCTACAGTCCTGGGACTCACAGGGGCAGTTCCACCGTCCTAGCAGGTTGCTGGTTTTGGAAACCCACGGTGGTGGTGGTGGGTGTGATGTCCATGCATGTGCGCGCGCCAATCCCTTCTGTCCTTCCCTCGCCAATCCCTGCGTCAGCAGCCACACCTCTGTGCGTCTATGCTGCCCACCCTAGCGTCAGCACGGTGTCACTGAAGCAGGGGTAGGTGGCTGAAGGCCTGCCTCTCGAGTCAGGGAAACGTTGAGGGGAGGAAGTGTTCCCTCGGGGCCCCCGGCTGTGCACCTTGAGAGGAGCAGGCCGCCGCCTCTTCTTGCTGATGAATGGCTGTGAGTGCTGGAGCACCACCGTCTCCCTGAGCTCAGCCCTCGCTATCACTGGGACCCCTTGGATTCCACCCCCTCACGGGCTGCCCTAGGTCCTGTGGGGGCCCTCCCCGGGCCCCACCATCAGCCCGGTGTTGAAGGAAGCCAGCTCATGACCATGGGCCTGGGAACACTGGAGCCTTTGGCCCACACATGGCGGTGCGCCATGCTAATGTCCCCGCTCCCCAGGAGCGAGAGGACGGGGAGCCTGGACCCTGCCCAGGTGACACCGAAGGCCGAGAACTTCCTAGACAGGAAAGTAAGGCAGTCCTGTCCCATCCGGTTCTGGCTCTCTCCGGCCATCATTGATTTTGCCCATGATGGGCTGACACCAGCGCCCAGCTGGGCTGTGTCTGAGAGGGCTGCCTGCCATCGCTGGGGCAGGAGTCCACACCACCCCATCAGGTGCTTTGTAGGGCTTTCGCAGGGTGTCCTGACTACTGTCCCCTCGATTTTAGAACATTGCCAGCCCCAAAGCAGAGGCTGCCTGGAGCTTCCAGCGGATGCCGTGTGCCCCCCACCCCACCCCCTTTGCAGAGTGGCGCCTTCACAGGAGCAGACCACCTCCCCTGTGTGTTCTGGGGGCAAGGGGAGCTGGAAACGCTGCCCTGCAAACGGAGCTCCATCCACAGTGGCACCAGCTGCTCAGAGGAGGGGTGGCCCCATGCTTACCCCATCTTGAGGGTGGCCTGAGGCTTGCTCTCGGTCCAGGGGAAGTGCTGCAGCAGCGGGGACAGCAGCAGTGTGCTCGAACCCATCTGGTAGTCCTGGGGGGAGGAGAAGAGGATGGTGTCGACACCCACTGCTGCCCGGCCTCATAGCGACCCAGCAGGACGGAGCTGAGTTTTCCCACAGGGTCTCCGAGGCTACAGGCAGGAGCAGCCGGTGCCATCTTTTTTTCATGGAGTGGCTGGTGGGATTGGACAGCTGACCTTCGAATGCCTGACCCTTTGCACCACCAGGGCTTCTCTTTCCACACCTAGTCCCGGGGCTGCCTTGGGACTCCCTGTGCCCTGCGCCCACACCCACCACGAGCCCTGCAGATAGAGACTAAGCTTTCCTCTTGGCCGCAGCCCCACACTGTCCCTGCCACTCCCAGCCATGCGCTCCTGCTCTCTGCAGGGACAGAGCACCTCTCGGGTTTAACAAGGGTGAGCAGTTGCCACAGGCCACCTGTGTGCAAGCTGCTATGTGAAGCCACCAGAGCTGCAGGGCAGGGGACGGGGCCCCGGGGTCACGCAGACTGACTTAGTGGCCGTGAGGTGCCAAAATCCCACGAAATGGCAGATGAGAGGACCATTTTGTTTCCAGTGCAGACTCAGACGCTACCGGCCCCCCCTGCTCCCTCATGGGCCACTGTGAACGTTGAACTTCATGGGGATGCCCTGTGACTCTTCCCGAGACATGCCCCGGCCGTGGGTTCCACCTGAGGGCCTCTCCCTGGGCTCAGCTCCTGTCCTATCAGACAGCAATGATGGCCTTGTTTCTCCACCTTGCTCCCGTGGGGAGGGGTGATGAATTGCACTCTTGGTCTTCAATGCCTCTCCCATTCAGAGCCCCCATATGGCCCAGTGGGACGGTCCCAGAGGGTTTCCGGGGCTGTCAGTCTTTACGGAAGTAGATGGTCTCAGTTTCCTCTTGTGGAGTGGCTGGTGGGTTTGAACCTCCGACTATTGGGTTAGTGGCCTGGTGTTCAACCCAGGCACCATCAGGCTCCTTAGGAAAGGGGTGAAGTGTATGTGTGTGTGGGGGGGACATCACGCATGTTTGGCCCGCTGTCATCTCCTCCCACTGGTCAGCAGGGGGCTTAGGAGTCTGGGCTGAGCGCCTGCATTTCTGAGAGCCCCGGGATCACCCCATTGTCAGGGTTTCCTCTACTGCACTGTGGACCAACAGAGGCGGTCACAGAAAATGCCCGTGGTGCAGATGCTGTTTCTGTTGGTGCTGACCTAGCCTGTGGGAGCAGACGTCCCGGCTGGCTCAACAGCAGCCAAGGTGCCCAGAAAAAGCCAGCTGGGGGTGCAACTGTCGTTGATTTGGGGTGGTGAAAAAACAACACCGGCAACAAAAACCCCTCAGACGCCAACCAAATTCACTGACACCGAGTTGACTCAGAGTGATGCTGTGGACAGGACAGAGCTGACCCCGTAGGTGTCCATGCCAGCAGACAGCCGCCCTTTCTCCCGAGGAGCTGCTGGTGGGTTCATACTACTGACCTTGCTGTTAGCAGCTCCACTCAGAGCCGCCCCCTCGGGGTTCCTCCCTGAGGTCTGTAGCACGTGTGCTCTAAGAGCCCTGGGTGGACAAGACCCTGTGTCCCGGGGCCTGGGAGAAGAGAGTGAGGCATCTTCCTGGCCAGGAGCGAATGCTGCTTCCTCCTGGAGCAGTTGGCTAGAAGCCTGGCTGTCCTTCCTGTGACCTTGGGGGACCGTATATCGGACGTGGGTAGAATACCAGCATCTCCAGGCAGCCCCCCGAGACACCCCCCCCCCCACCCTATGTCTTGCAGTGCAGTGACTAATTCTGTACAATGCAGGAAGTTGGCCCTGGTGGCCTCGGGGGTTAGAGGCTGGGCTGCGGACCCCAAGGTCAATTGCTGACAGCCATGGTGCATCGACATGACGGTGACCTCAGAGGAGCTCGGAAATGGAGGCTGGCATTTCTCCGGTGGGGGGAGGGGGAGTTGTTTCTGCTGGGTGCTGCTGCATTGGTTCCAACGCTTAGCGACCCATGTGCCACAGGAGACCATGCCACCGGGCCCTACACCGTGAGGCCACCTCATTCAGGGTCTTCTTTCCTCGCTGACTCTTGGCTTTCCCAAGCAGGACGTCTTGCCCAGGGACGGGCTCCTGCGGACCACACGCCCAACGTGTGTGGGAGAAAGTCTCCGCATCCACCCTCGAAGGAGCATGCTGGCTGTACTTCTTCCGAGACAGACTTACTCAGACTTCTGCCAGCTCCTGTCTGCTCGCTGTTTTCCACCCATGCTCTCACTCGATTCCTCTTCGGTTGAAATGACTACCACGCAAGGAATTTGACCCTGGAGTGAACTCTGGGTCATCTGCTAACCACGGATTTCTGCTTTCACAGGGGCTCCTGACCTCCCAGCCAGCCCCTCCCAGCCAGCCCCTCGTTAGCCCCATGGACCCGACCCTCCACCTGCAGCACCTGGCGTTTGTGTTTGGACGCAGTCCAGCAGCAGCAGTGAGCAGGCCAGCTGCATTACTTACATCAAGCATGGAGGTGCTGAGTGGGGAAGATTCTTCCAAGGTCCTGATTCTTTCCAGACTCATGAACTTGAAGGCATTGACGTATCTAGGAAGAGGCACAGAGGAGGGTCAGCGCGGGAGCATGCCCAGCTGTGATGCCGCAGGAGGCCATGGACGCCGTATCCTGAGACAGAGAAGGCCAGCCTTGCAGCAGGGCCTGCCCAACACCCCCCAAGCCTGAAGTTCTCCCGGCACCGGGATGGTAACGCCACTTTCCACCACGGCCATCTGGTCCAGAGACCTTCTCGGCCTTCCATCGTGGCCAGGCGTCTGGTCCCACGTGGACTCAGGGAGCAGGACCTGTGAGCCCTGAGGCATCATTTGGTGTGACCCCTTGTGTTGGGTCAAACAGGGTGCCCAGTGAGGTGCTAGGCCTTCTCTCATCCGTAGCGGCCGGCTTCCTGTAAAGATGTGCACCACCAAGAACAGAAGCTGCCATCCTGGGTCCCTGGCAGAGTGGTGGCCGAGGGCCTGTGCCGTGAGTACACACTCGGGAGAGGTGCTCTCCCGGTAACCACATGAGACTGCCCGCTGATGAGGCACAAGGAGCTGGGCAGTACCATCCATAATATCCTCTCTCTGGTCCTTGGCTCAGCTGCTCTGGCAACGTGTGTGAACCTCTGGGCTCAATGCTGTGCACCACCCTGGAAGAGCTCAAATTAATCTGCCAGTCCTCATTTCTCACCCTTTCAGACGCAACCAATCTATGTAATCAAGCTGGCTTTCTCATCTTTAAAACCGGGTAACTCATCGGCTTTAGCATCTTGGTAGTATTTGTGAGGATCGAGAAGAAACCTGGTGGCCTGCAGACTTGTGGTGGAGGGCTACAGGTTAGTAGACTTGTAGTAGAGGGCTACAAGCTGGTAGACTAGTGGTGGAGGGCCACTAGACTTGTGGTGGAGGGCTGGAAGACTTGTGGTGGAGGACTATAGGTTGGTAGATTTGTAATAGAGGACTACAGGCTGGTAGACTTGTGGTGGAGGGTTTCAGGCTGGTACACTTGTGGTGGAGGACTATAGGTTGGTAGATTTGTAATAGAGGACTACAGGCTGGTAGACTTGTGGTGGAGGACTATAGGTTGGTAGATTTGTAATAGAGGACTACAGGCTGGTAGACTTGTGGTGGAGGGCTACAGGCCAGCAGACTGGTAGTAGCGGTTGATGGGCCAGTATGGACAATGCACTGATCTGTACCCATTACCACAAGGCTGGGCTGGCCACCAGGTTCCTTCTCCGCCCTCACCGATGCCTGTCAGTACTTTCAGACCATTCCACCACCCCCTCCCTGGGTACCTGCCTGGTTTGCCGATCAGAAATCAGAGCCCTAGTAGTGCCTGCTGCAGGTCAAGATGCCAGAAAGCTTGCGGATTCCTGACGACAGGGGTGCAGGGAAGACGTGTGAGACCGTTTATTTGGATAAGGAACCTTATCCCTCCATTGCACAATTTTGGCAAGCTGTCCTCCTCAAAACCAGAATACCCTATTTGGATAGCAGGAATATCAGTAGCTACCTCACAAGGTTGATGTGAACCCACAGGACGTGTTTAACACGCCTGTCACCGGTGTGCGAACCCACAGGACGTGTTTAACACGCCTGTCACCGGTATGACTTAATGCACTCACGATTCACTCTCACAGCCCTTCAGTGACCCTGCAGACATTCGAGGTGCCCTTCGGTGGTTAGGTGAGGGGGCAAAGGGAGATTTCGTTGTTGCTCTGTTGGAGGGTGTCATCAGCGAATGCTAGTCTCATTTGAAAACCAGCATCACGAGGAGCCAAGGAGGGGGTGTTCCAGAGTCCACTCTGACTCAGTGACCCTGCAGTGCGACGTTTCTGAGGCTGCATCTCCCCCACCGTGGCCGGTGGGTTTAAACCACTGACTCTGGTGAGCAGCCCAACTCTCGGCCTCCAGCGCCACTGAAGCCGCGGAATGACACGCCTCGTGCGTCTGGAACCGATTCTGCCCTTTCCGGATTTTTACTTTTGGAAAGCTCTTTTGAAGGGCATTCTGGGGGCATCATGGTCATTAGGATACTGGATACCACGAAGGCTTCCTCACCGAGGTCTGTGGACTGGACGTTTCCGTGGGACTGCACGGGAGACAGTCCTTAGACCTTGTGTTCCTACGCCGAGCTGAGCTACGCTACAGCATCGTGACGCCTGAAATGCTTTCAGACGGTTCAGCAGGAAGTGTGCGCGCTCGTGCACAGACATGGGAGTGCACGCACACGCACGGCACACGCACGCACGCAGGGCGTCCTGACAAACAAGGAGGGGAGCCGGGGCATAGCCGTCCTTTGATTCTGCCTGGCAGGTCTGTGCAGACCTGCGGTCGGGGAAAGCCTGCTCACCTGATGTCGTCCGAGCTGCCGGCGCTAAACCTGGGCGCCACCATGTCTTCCTTGAAGAAGCCCTCGGAGAAGGGAAAGCCGCTGCTTCCCGTCAGGATGGTGCTGAGCGGGATGTAATCCTTCCCCTCCTAGGAGGGAGACCACGAGGCTCAGAACTGCCCCAACGCTGCTGCCATCTGCACCCCGTGGGGGCATTTGGGCAGGAGAGAAGAGGCATGGTGGGAGGGGGGAGTTCTGGTGATCTCAACGACTCTCTTCCTGGTCAAACCACACAGCAGCAGCAGCAGGAACCCGCCCCCGCTCACTCTAAGACCAGGCGCTGGACTCGCAGCTGCGACGTTACCTGTTGCACGTTGGCTTGAAGCAGGTCGCCAAGCTTTCCCACCAGTTCTGCGAACCTGGGCCGCGCCTTCGGGTCCTTGTGCCAGCAGTCCAGCATGATCTGGTAGCTGTAGAGGCGGAGCGCAAGGGGACAGCTGGAGTGGCTGGCCTTGGGGAAGGTGGCCCTCGGACGGGCCATGCAGATGGGCAGCGGGTTTTGTAGGTTACGATTGGTATCTGCCCGTGTCTTTCCCACCGCTCATAAAAGGCAGCAAACACCTGGCTACCAAGGCAGGGTGCAAACCCTCCTGCCAGATGGCGAGGTCCGCGGTTAGGGCCCACTTGCCCCTCCTCGGGAGAAAGCTGTAGCTGCCGGGGAACATGGCCGTGCAGCCTTTGGAACACTGGGGAGCGGCTCTCTTCTGTCCCATTGAGTCAGATTGGGCCCGAAGGGCAGTGGGTGACTGCCAAGGGGGTAGCTGCCCCTACCGACTGCCCAACATTGGTATATTACTTACTCTCTTTGCTCTGAGAGGATCCCTGGTGGCATAAATGGTTAGGCTTTGGGATGTGATCCACAAGGTCCTCAGTTCAAAACCACTAGTTGCTCCAAGGGAGAAAGCTGGGGCTCTCTACTCCCATACAGAGTTACAGTCTCAGAAACTCACGGGGCAGTTCTACCTTGCCCTATAGGGTCGCCATGAGTCGGCATTGACTTGCTGGCAGTGCGTTTGGTTTGGCTTTGCTCTGAAGGCGTTGGGCTGCTAACCTCAAGGTGCCCAGAGGGAGGAAAGAGCTGCTCCCATGGGGATGGCAGCCTAGGAGACGGACAGAGGCTGTTTGTTCTACATGGTCCTGTAAGCGGGAACAGACCCGACGGCACCAAACCACCCCCACCCCCACTCAGTGAATGAAGGGTAGCCCCGAGCCCCCGGTGACCCGCTCTTAGAAACACAACGCTTTCCTGCCTGGTAGGGCATGGGGTTCAGGGGGTACTTCCTGGGAGGTGCTCAGCAGCCCAGGACCTCACGCCCTAGTCACTGAGTTCCGTGGTGTCCTTGACAAGTCTGGTCCAGCTTCTTCTCCGGACTTGGCTCCCTGCCAACGTCCGCTCACTGGTGACTGTTTGAGGTAGCTCTGTGAGCCGGCTGCTCCCTGGTCCTGGCTGCTAGGTCCTGTCTCCAGTTGCTATTTCTTTAAAGGTTGGAATCTTGTTTCTGATATCTGATTTCCTCTCCTTTGCCTTAAACTTGATGCAAACCATCCCAACAAACACCAAAGGAAGTGTGTGTGTGTGTGTGTGTGTGTGTGTGTGTGTGTGTGTGTGTGTGATCAAAACACCGGCTCCCTTATTGAAAGACATCTGATTAAACAGGCTCAGGTCGAGGGGCCAATGAAGCCATGGTTTTCACACCACTAAGAAAATAGGTTTGGTCAAGTAGAGGGTCCCGGTGGTGTGCGGGCAGGTTCACAGGGGAGGGCCATTGCTCAGGGCCCAGGAGCACACTGCTCGAGGCCAGGGCCAGATCAGGGCATCTGAGAAGTGCCAGCCAGCTGTGCTCTGCCTCACCCAGACCTTCCAGCAGCTTTCCAAGGTTGGGAGGACTCCCGGCCTCCCTCCCTTCCTCCCTCTCTCCCTCCTTCCTCACAGCTGCTGCTGACTTTGGAAAATTGGCAGACAGACTCCTGCCCTGAGCTGAGGACTTGGCCTTCTCTCTACCAGAAGCCTCTTTGGCTGCAGGTGCTAGCTGGGTGCCATGGAGGTCTGGTCCTGGAGATAGGTGGCGTTGACCTGACTTGGTATCCTTAGGGTTACCTGGCACCAGACCCTGGGCGAGGGGGAAACTGCCTGCGGGGTAGGGGGTGGACTCGGTGGGCTCGGACAGGGCACAGACTGAACTTTCCTAACTTACTCTCTCTGCCACTGAGACAGACGTTGGCAGTGCCTAGTGACCCTACAGGACAGGGTAGAATCTCCCCTGTGTGTTCCTGAGACTAACTCTGTATGGGACTAGATAGTTCATCTTTCTCCCTCGGAGCCGCTGGTGGTTTTGAACTGCCGACTCTGTGCTTAGCAGCCCAATGTGTAGCCACTACACCACAAGGGCTCCCTCCTACCTTATTAGCAATGGCCAAACCCAAACCCACTGCTGCTGAGTCCATTCTGACTCACTGACATTCTAGGGCAGAGCGGAACTGGCCCGCAGGGGTTTTGTGACTGCCGACTTTCCAAGTCCAAGTTGGGCACCGCACCACCGGGGATCCTGGAAGCCAGACCAAACTCATTGCCGACAAGTCGATTCCAACTCGAAGAAACTCTCCAGGACACAGTAAGATCCTCCCTTGGGTTTCCAAGACGGATCTTTGTGGGAGCCGCTGACCTCCTCTTTCTCCCTGCACGGCTCGTCAGCTGGCAGCACACTGAACCCCCCAAAATGCATTCCCTGACGCGGAGCTCAATTCGACTCACAGCAACTCTGCAGGGCAGCGTAGACCTGCCCGTAGGGTTTCTCAGATGGTCATTTTGGCAGTGAGCGTGCCTGCTTAGACCCTCTGCCACCTGTGCTCCTTCCAAGGCTGTCACCCTCGCTGTTGGCAGCAGCCTCAGCTTTCTCCCACATGAGCTCGTAGCCCGAGTGCTTAAGCACTGTGCCACCAGGCAACGCTCAGCACTGCTGGCTGTGGGCTAATCACGTCCTGGGCGGGGCCTCAGTTTCCTCCTTTCTCCCAGCCTGGAAGGTTCCCCCCTTCCACAGGGGGCTGTCTTCCCGCTGTGCGCTGGCTCTTTCTGAGTGGGAATTCCGGAGTTACAGTCTGGGAAACCCACGGGGCTACTTCTGTTCCTTTCTACAGGGTTGCCTTTACAGAAGCCAAGAGCCGCATCTTTCTCCCAGGGAAGGGCTGGTGGGAGGACTCTGAGCCTCACTTCTAGAACATTCTCCCAGCACAGCCCAGCCCCACAGCCCTGCAGACGTGGAGCAGGTGGTCAGAGGAGTTCTTTCATCCACACAGCAAGGCCACAAAGCAAGCACCATGGCCACCCCTCACCCCCCTGGGGAGTGTCCAGGTGGCAGAGGCAGGGTGCGGGGCCTCACATCTCCGGAGTCGCGTATTCAGGGGCCCGCATCCTCATGCCCTCCTTCAGGCGGCTGCAGAAGTCCTCGTCCATCTGCACCCCGGGGTACGGGGAGCCCCCTGCGGGAGGGAGACAAGGGTGAGGGCCAGGCTCTGGCTGGCGACACCCACTGGGTGGGCGGGTCTGTTGGTGCAGCGACCCGAAGCCACCAGCCGTTCCTGGCATGCAGTCCGGAGTACGAGTGTCCTCTGAGGGGTCTCTCCACTCCGGCTCGCACTGCAGCTGGTCAGCTTCTTGAGAAGCTAGCGGAGGGTGTCAGGCCCTGGGAGGACACCTGCCTCCGGGAGAGCACGGGAGGCTGCTCCCTGGTCGTCTCCTCGCAGAGCGAGGGGCCGGGGTGACGTGAGGCTGGGGGAAAGGTGGCCCGGGCTGTGGGCCGGGCCGACCTGAGGGGCTGGGGGCCCAGGACACGGTCTTGGGCAGGTTACTCTCCAGGACCCCTGACCTTCTCCTTGATGGGGACTCCTGACTGTGTGTGTTGGGGCTGCAGAGGTCGCTGGGTCTGGGCCAGGGGCTCCATCTTCGGGCCCTGAGGCCAGGTGTTGGTCTGTCTGCGGTCACCACAGCTGGAAGGAAGCAGCTGGGAGGTACAGAGCTGGCATCGAGTCACCTCGGGCCACGGTAGCCGCCAAGTGGCTTTCAAAGACTGGAAGCCACAGGTGCCTGTCATCGAAAGCAGGGCAATGACTTCCACACATGACAGGAAGCCGGAGAGGTCTCTGTGCCTGTTACTAAGAGCTGCTGCGACCAGCAGGCACGGGCTTGGCAGAGGCTGGCGGGCTCCTGCAGACACACGTGGGCTCCTGTGGTGCTGTGTGGGGCCTGGGAGGGGGCGGCCAGCTGCCCGCATTCACGCTACTGCAAATGGCCTAAGTACAGCCCAGCTCTCAGAGGCTACTGAGCGGCGGGGGGCAAGAGGGTAAGAAGGAGGGTGCTTGTGGGGACGGATGAAGAGGCTGGGGGTAAGGGTAGCCAGGCCGACTGGTGCGCCCCACTCAAAGTCGCCATCTGTGCAGGTGGCCCTCTGAGGGGCCTCACACCTCCTTCAGGGGTCCTGCTGCTCTGAAGGCAGGCGGGCGGGTAGGCCCAATGGGGTCTCTCCATCTCCCCCCTCCACCCCCCCACTTACCCAGAGAGAAGATCTCCCACAGCAAGACGCCGAACGACCACACGTCGCTCTGGGTGCTGTAGATTTTGTCAAAGATGGATTCGGGGGCCATCCACTTCAGGGGAAGCCGAGTCTAGGAAAGGACCAGGGGCCATGAGCGTCAGGGCCAGCCAGGGGGGTCACTTCCCAGGGCAGCCCGACCTTCTGGACAGAGACAAAGTGGGGGCCTGTGTCGTTACGCTGCACGAGGGAGATGCGAGGGGACTTAACAGGAGTTCGTGGGGAGATGGAACGAAAGGACAATGGGCTTTTTCTAAACCTCTCAGAGGCCCACCTGGTGGCCACTCTTCAGGTCCCTAGGAGACCACACCCGGTCCCTCAGCACCTCTGTTGGACATGTCCTGACCCTGAGCTTGTAAGAAATCCTTCTCCCAACACAAGCTTGTGCTCCAGCCAGCCCTCTGGCCCTGCTGCCTCTTGTCGATTCCGGCTCACAGCCATTCCACAGGACAGAATTGCTCCACAGGGTTTCCCAGACCGGACATCTTCACGGGAGCAGACCGCCTTGTCTTTCTGCTTTGGTGCAGCGGGTGGGGTTGAACCTCTGAGCTTGAGGTTAATAGCCCAACCGTCAACCCATGATGCTACCAGGACACTTCAAAATCCGAAACCAAAGCCTTGCTATGACAGTCCGAGTCTAAAGGACCGGGCAGAGCTGCCCCAGGGGGTTTGTAGCTGAGACTTAGTGGAAGCAGGCGGTCACATCTTTCTCCTGTAGGGCGGCTGGTGGGTTCCAGCCCCTGGCGTTTGGGTCGGCGGCCAAACACTTTAACCTCTCTGCCAACTCGCCATCCGCTCCCTGGGAGGAAGATGAGGCAGTCAAGATGCCCATCTCAGAAACCCCATCCATAGATGGTGGCTACGGTTGGAACCACCCCGTGGCAAGGGGTTTGGGACGGTTTTCAAGTGTCCAAACAGCCTGCCTCCAATGGCACACGGCAGACATCCCAGGGAGCGCGGTCTACACCATCTTAGAAAACCAGGATTGTGGTGCATGCCTGCGTGTGTTCCCAAATATGGTCTTGGGACCAGGTGTCTAGACACTTCTTAGGAATGCACATTCTCGGATGCCACTACAACAGGGGCGCTGGGCCCACGCAACTCGGCCTCAGGCCTGCGCTGACCACCTCCACCGTGGAGCCCTCTTCAGCACTGGACATTAGCTGCAGGCCTCGGGATGGGCCAGATAAGAGAGGACACGGAGGTCACCCGCCAAAGTGAAAAATAACACAGTGTCCAAAAACAAGCCAGGACGAGCCAGCGGGGACACGCTAGGCATGGCCACGCGGGAGGCGGACAACTTCCTCCCCTGGGAGACCCCCCACCCTTTCCTGAGGCACGGCCACCTGCGGAATCAATCATCCGGGTTTATCTGAGGGGAAGAGTCCAGACTGTTCTCTCCGGAAGCAGAGGGAACCCCCGCCCCCAGGAGCCAGCGTCAGGGAGGGAGGATGGCCTGGGGCTCCCACCAAGCCCCTCTGAGAGGAGTGGCGCCGGCATCACGGGAGGAGCCACCTCCATGTGCCCCCACACACAGCCTCATGGGGACTGCTGATCCACACAGGCCGCAAGGGCTGGTTTTCAGGGCCCACTGCCCGGGAGGTGCAAATCTTTGGGAAACGAGAGGGACATCAGCGAGTCAAGTCCACTTACGTCACCCTTCCTCACGTAGTCGGGGTTCTTATAAATATCTCGGGCCAGGCCAAAGTCACAGATCTTCACCACATGATTCTCCGACAGAAGAATGTTCCTCGCGGCCAGGTCCCGGTGGATGCACTGTAAGGAGACCAGACAGTCGTTATGTCCGGTGTCTTCTCCGGGCTATCCGTCCTAATCCCAGGAGCCCCTCCCTCCACGAGGTGTGAAGGAAGCCACCCTCCATGGGAAGTGGCCCAAAGGCCACGGGCATCTCAACATTGCCTGGGGTTGCTGGTCTGAGGTCCAGCCTGCTGGGCCACCACTCTGGGAAGCTGGGGTTTCTGAGTGAGCACAGCCTCCCCACTGCGTGCCCCCACCCCCACCCCCCATCTCTTCTGTTCAGTTGTTGAGATCAGAACTCTGATCTTGCTACAACTTCGTGGAGGAATCCAAGTGGGTAGAACACCCCTAGTCCTCATTCATCAACCATCTGTTAGCTGACATTTCGAATTCCCGACGACAGCTGAACCCTATGACCCGACCCTGTGTGCATTAGGGACCTGTGGGCAGTAATGTGTGGCCAGGTGCCATGTGAAGGCAGAGGGGCACTATCTGATGGTTCAGGCTGTCAGTTGCCTGGGCCACAGTCCTCAGGGCTTGGCAGTTCAATGAGGCCACTATGGAACAATGGAAGGTGGCAGCCATGGGAGGTGGCCATCCCGTGTGTTGTGATCCGAGGTGGCCATGCACTGATAAAGTGGGGTGTCAGTCTTCACACACTGACCCGCTCTTTGCAACCTCACCAGCCCGGGCAGTGAGGGGTGGGTAGAGCAGAATCTCTCCAGTGCAGTGCCGCAGCACTAGCGTGGCGCAGGTCCTCGAGGGGCGAGGTGGAGAAAGGCAGGCAGATTAGCCTGGTCCTCAAGCCTGCGAGGTCTGCCCGTGGGATCCAGTTCGACCCACTAGAACTCCACACTCATCATTCTGAAAACCCTCGGGGTGGGGGGTGGGGAGGCTCTTGGGCCTGTTGACAGAATGCAGGCATGTGTTGTTTCGCTTACTCTGCATGGAAGAACGCAGCCCCGAGCGAGTCCTCTTACAAGCAGATCTGCATAGCAAAGGTGTGTGTGTATCCCTGGGAATACCCACGTGGCCAGGACCAGCAACGAAGGAAAGCAGTCAAGGGCAAGGCTAACCTTTCTGGAAGACAGAAACTCCATGCCGCGGGCCACTTGGAAACTGTAAGAAATCAGATCCTCCATCGTGATGGGTTCCTTGTAGAAGTCGTCGGAATCTGGAAACCAATAGACTGTCACTGTTTCGTACAGGCGCTTGTTACCCCACCCTGTCCTGGGTCATTGGAACCATGGTGGCAGAACATGGAACAAACCAGCAAGTGGGTCAGAGTTCATTTTCAAGAGCATTCGGGTTTCAACATGAACATCCCAGATTTTTCCAGGCCTCCAGCCCACTTTGCCCAAGCACAGGGTGTGTGTGTATGTGTGTGTGTGTGTGTGTGTGTGTGTGATAACCCATTAAGACCCACACAGGCCTGAGGGAAGACGATCCTACAGTTCCCTGTCAAAATTAGTAACTCTGTAAATAATCTTAATTCAAATCTTATCTTTTCAGGACATTACCCGGCGAGTCTCCCACGGATGTTTATTAGGGTGATAAATATGAAAAAAAAAAAAAAAAGGCCAGAGATGCACAGTATGTTGTAAAAATATCTCCGGCTGTAGGGCAGGAAGGAACAGATACCTACCCTCCTCTTCCTCCAGATCACTCAGGCTCTTTTCTTCCTGGAACCCCGAGCTGGCCAGGCTCTCGCTGCTGGTGATGCTGTCCAGCCGTGGCTTCTGGTCTTGGTCTCGGTCTGCTTCCAGCTGTTCCTTCTTAGGCTCCACATGTAATGCTGCATCCTTCAAAAAGACCCAGAAGGTCACCGATAAAGGGGGAACTGGGCCCTCAAGCCGGTGACAGCCCGAGTCGGGAGAGCGCCCTTTCACAAAGCGGGTAGTGGGTTGAGCGGCCAGGGTCCTACGGTGGCCTGTCACCTGGCTGTTCTGCTCTTGACTGGGCTCGACAATGACTTAGGTAGATGCGAGAAATATGAATGGGGGGCTGGTGCTTCCTGAGAGCTGACTCTGTGAGAGATAGTGCAGGAAGAACCCGACGGAGGGTCTCCCCACTTAAGCGTCCCGACAACTGGGTGGAGAAGTCAGGTAGTCAAGGCCACACACAGCTGGTAGATGGCCAGGCGTGGGCCCAGGTTTCACCGACTCTGAAGTTGCCACTCTACCCCACACAGCATCTTGTGAAGGACAGTGGGGACACTGGCAAAGGGCAGCATCATGGTTACCACCTCACTGCTCTTGCCCCCCTCCCACTTCCCACGTTTCCCCTGCGTGGTGGCTAGTGTGGAGCACAGGCAGGAAGGTGCACTGGCTGGACACCCCACGGCATCGAGTTCCTGGGCCTGCGGACCCGGGCCCAGTCTGGGAGGGCGTCTAGGTTAAATGGCACAGCACAGTTCATCAGGATAATGTTCTCCATTCCGGTTTGGTGAGGAGCATGGGAGGTTTGAAAAGCTCATAAGGGGCTTGTTTTCTCCTGTCTGGGGCAACAGGCAGTGCAGGGCAGCAGTCTCAGGGAAACAACAAATCCCACGGCTGGCCGCCCATGGGGACCACAGCTGTCTCTCCTCTGAGACCAGAGGCACTAGGCAGTGCCCAGCTACCACTACTGGCCATCCCGTAGATGGTACAAATCCCAACCTACATGCCCGGAGGTCCCCATCTGGGAGTCAGAGAGGCTGTGTCTTTGTAACAGTAGGGAGGCAGGATTCCTGTGTAGGGTGGGTCTTGATCCATGGAATCTGTTAGGAATGACTGAAGGGCATATTAAGCAACCTAAGTGGGGAAGGGAGATGCCAAGCACGTGGAACTCTCCAAGGAACCAGGGACCAGAAGGTGCGGACACAAGGATTTCCCACAGCACCCACACAGGCAGAAAGGGGCGCCCCGAGTTCTGACTTGCAATTCCTTTCTGGGTGTCGGAAGACACCTGCTGGGGTATCTCTGTTAAAGCAGCCCCAGGGGACCCTGACCAGGGGGCTTGCCTGGCCCAGCTACGGGTGTGGCAGCGAGGGAAGGATCTAAACGCCCTTCTTCCCCGGGTTTTCCCTAGAAATGTGGGCGTGAAGCGGGCACAGTGCTTCCACTAGAGGGCACAGTGGGAGCAGCAAGCAGAGGACGGAGCAGGCAGTGCAGGGGAGGCATTCTGAGGGAGGCCAGGGGGTGAAGCTGCTGGTCTGAAGAGAGCGAACGACCTTCCTGGGCAGCAGGAAAGCAAAGGCCCACCTACCGCACCCCATCCCCAGGAGAGGCATCTCACAGAAGCTGTTAGCGCGTCTGAGGCAGTGAGATTTGCTTCTGCTCTGTGGAGGCACTGCTGTCCACCACAACTTCCGGGCCAGGAGACAGCAGGGAAGGAGAGGGCTGGCCAGACCTGAGACAGGCACGTTCCCAGCTCCGAGCAGCCTTCACAGCCAGAGCCCATCTCCAAGGACCAGACCTCCAACTCAGGTCCCAGGTCCCTTACCCACTTCTCGACCGTACATTCAGCTTTGCTTATCCGCCACTGTTTCTGCTATGTCTCAGGGGACGTACTGAACGTTTAAGACTGGCGGAGTGGAGTGAGTTTATGACCAGCGACATGGAAGGATGCTAACAAGTTCATTTGAGAAAAGAAACCCGTTTCTGTCTCTGGGAGTCGGGGTCTCCTTCACCAGTCTCTCTGATACACAGCCAGGCCTCCTCCCCGACAAAGGCTCGGCTCCACCGAGCTGCTTCGCAGGGAGGTGTGTCATTAAATATAGCCGGAGAAGGAAGCCTGGCCACCAAAACAAAGGACGCACGAACCCAAACGTTCCATCCTGCCCAGGTCCCTGGGGTGTTCCGCTGGCTCAGTTCTTTCTGAAGCCAGTCCAGGAGCATGGGGCTGGAGGGGGCTTGTCCTGCCCTGAGCCCCAGGGTGCCGTTCTCCACTTGTTCTCGTTTTATCTTTTCCCATCATCCAACGAGGTGCGCAGAAAGCACGGGATGGCAAGTCCACCGTGCTGGGCTCTTTGGTCTCCTGGAGTTACCTCACTAGGGCGGGGGCGGGGGTCCCTATGCCAGGCTCAATGTTTCGGGGCATTTCTGTGCAGGGAGAGTGCGAACTAGCTGGTCAGAAAGATGCATTTCAGCGTCTAGATGCTCAGGATTGGAAGCCACGACTGAAAACTGAGGAAAACACGTTCCCATGTACTGGTCCCTTCAAACACCTGGGTTTGGGTTTCATCCCACTTTGGAGAGAGGAGAGGAAAGGTCAGCCGGTCAGTGGCTCTTGTGTGCACGCCATCTTAAGACAGAGGACAGGGATGGCCATCCTTCTTGGATGAGGCATCTCTGATCCACCGTGCACATCCAAGGACTCATCCACCTTCAGTGACCCTGTAGGGCAGAGGAGAGCTGCTCCGTGGGGTTCCAGACCAAATCTCGACGGGAGCAGACAATCTCATCTTTCTCTTGAGGAGTGAGCGGCTGGTAGGTTTGAACCACTGACCCTTGGGTTATTAAATCAGTGCTTACCCCATTGGGCCACTAGGGCTTTCTATCTTAGTGGGTCAGTGATGATGATACCGATGGTTGGCATTTATTGAGGATGCAACTAACCAACTTCGGATTCTCCAACCCATCCAGTGAGGTGGATGAGTTCCACTTATTCAAGGAGGAAATGGAAGCTCTTCAATGAGAGGCTGAATGATTTGCTCACGGTCTCAGATCCCATGATCTTTAAGTCCCGTATAGATGGGACTTACACGCCAGAAGTCTGATACTGGGTCTGAGAGCTTCCCCTTCACCCTACACAGCCTCAGCACCAATGCAGCGCAGCGCCAGTTAATCATGTTGAACTGGGGTCATCTCCCAGGCTTGTCCAGCTGAGAAGCGGACACAGAAGTGGTGCACAAGCAAAATGTGACGACATTCTTTCTTCTCCATTGTTATCTCTTTTAAGTTTTGTTGGCCTTCGGGTCTTGAATCTAGGAGTATTTTCAAAGACACACAGCTGTGTTTTGATGCATAAAGCTGGTCTGGGAATGTGGGCAGGATGAGATGGTGGTGAAGGTGTGGGGACGTGCAGAAATGAGGAGAGGGCAGCGGGAAAGAAAGGAGATGGTTTCTAACTCTGGACCCATCACTGGCCGGCTGATGACTGCCACATCACTCCATCCTCTCTCGCCGCCATCGACTTGATTCGGACTCATAGGGAGAGGAGCACTGGAGGGGTGCACTGCCCCTGTGAGTTTCTGAGGTGTGACTGCAGAGTGGAAACACTTTCTTTCCTTTCTCTCTCGGAGCGGCTAGTGGGTTTTGATCTGCTGACCTTGCGATTAGCAGCCCAGCGTGTTACCTGCTATGTCAAATCTAACAAACGGGGACAATTACATATGAGGGGTACCCCCCCAAAATCAAACAAAAACCGGAAAAAAGCTCCGTTGGGTGGAGCTTTCCTAGTACCCCTTTTTTCCTGCTAGACGAGCAAGGATGGAATCGCAGATTGACAAATGTATTAAGTTTCATGGGCAGTACTTTGAAGGTGATAAGGTGTTTTGTTAAAAAACCACATAGTTTTGGAAAAAATTGCATTTTTTTTTCTTTTGGGGGTACCCCCTTGTATGTTACCACCTTCTTTCAAGAAGCAAGCAATGCATGTGAGTGCATACGCATGCCTGTATGCTCATGTATGTGTATGTATGCGTGTTTCTCCTTAAGTGTATATGAGCCCCCAATAAAATGATTTAAAAGAAAATAAAACATACGACGCTAGAAGAAAAGTGTCTTTAAACTCCCTGTCACTGTGCACACTGGGACTGTGTTGACCACACCAGCGTGGCCCAGAAGGGCACAGGCGGGGGAGAAGGGAGGGCGAAGCATTTCCCTTTTGGCCGGACAGGAAACTCCGTGGTATCCTTCCGAATGCGTCCGACCCTTTGCGGCTGACTTACCTTGTTTAGAAAGAACAAGTCCCGTTTGCTCTTGAGGTAGTTGGACAGATTCCCATACTTGCAGTATTCCACAATCACCATCAGGGGCCCTGGGGCGAAAACAGCACGCGCTCAGCCACCCCCAGCCTGCCAGCGGTTAGAGGGCCGAAAGCAGTCCGTTCTTAGGGGTATTCTGGGAGGGAGGGGCCAGGGATGCAATTTAGGGAAGGGAGGCTCCTGAGTCGGGTGGTCTTTCCCATTTCACGAGAGCAGGAATTTGCCAAAGTCCAAAATCCAAACTCATGGCCACTGAGTCAACACCGACTTATCGGAACCTTAGAGGACAGGCCCGATCTGGCCCTGTGAGTTTCTGAGACTGTCATTCTTTACAGGAGTAGAGAGCCTCATCTTTCTCCCACGAGAGGCTGGGGGTTTCCAACTGCGGGCCTGGTCAGTCAGCAACCCGGTGGGTGGAACCACTACACTATCAGGGCACAATAAGTACTGGGACAGGCAGTGTGAGCAGGCAGGTGGAGGGCAGGGCCCAGAAGACAGTAGAAGAAAAAGGCGAGAGAATTTCTAGGAGGGAGAGGTGCACTTGCCTGGGCTTCTCACTGTGACTACCCAGCACCCACCCTCCCTGCCCTCGCCAGACCCCTAGGGCAGGGGCCTTGGCCACTGCCACACCAGCTCTGGCACAGACAGCAGGCTGGTCCCTCTGATCCCTCGCTCCCCAGCAGGCAGCAGCCTCAGTGTCTGCTCAGAGCTGGCCTGCGAGAGGGTCTAATGCAGAGAAGCAAGAGCACATAGTTGAGGCTCTGTGGGCCACGTGGCTACTCCATCCTGCCTCTGCGGTGCAAGAGATGCTACCTGAATACGACTGAGTGTCAACAAAACGGTGAGGATTCCTCTCATTTCTCCCACTCAGCTAGGCTAAATGGCCCAACCAGTGCAAGTGCGGATAAACCCACCGCCGCTGAATCACAACGTTTCCACGGCTGTAAACCTCGACTGGAGCAGCCAGCTTCGGCTTTCTGCAGGTGGTTTTGAACCACCGACTTTTGCGATTGGCAGCCCAGTGCCTAGCCTGCAGCGCCACCAAGCTCTCTCGGTAGTGGGTGGGGGTGAGCTTCATTTGCTGACCTTGCTGACCCTTGATTCTAAGGGAGTCCCACTCTGGGTCCGAGAGACGCCCCAGTCCCCTTCTTCCCACCCTCTGCAGTGGGGCTGGGCGGGGCGGCCTAGATCACGAAGGACCACTTCCAGGTCAATCGAGCGTGACCCGGAGCTGCTTCACCCGCTCCTGCCCGAGGCATGCCGGGAGGAGAGGGGAGCCACAGCCCCCACCGAAGCTCCGGGAGAGGCTCGCGGGAGCCCAGGCCTTAGCCGGCGAGGGTTTAGGGTTATGGTGACTTGAAAGTGGCTTCTGGGCGTCCTCACAGCGTCTCTGCCCGCAGGACCTCAGAATGGACGTCGTCTGTCTGGACGGGCACCGTCTCCCCACCACCCGGCGCATGACGTGCCAGTTTCCACGTCGACAGGCCTCCCCGGGGCTCAGGGACGCAGCCTGAGGTGAGCTGCCCGTCCCACGGGCGCCAAAAGGAGACCCCTGCGGGGCGGAAGGTGTGGGGCGCGCTTCCGGTGGGCCCCAGGAGTCCGGCCTCCGCCCCTCCGCGACGCCCCTCTTTTCGTCCCCGCCCCCCCGGCCTTAGCGGGGGAAGAAACACCACGAGAAGGTGCTGGGGCCCTCACCCGTAAGGCACTGCCCTGTCCCCCCTGGACGCAGGGGTCAGGCCTGCGTGCGTCACGGGTATGGAGGGAAGGTGGTGGTTGTTGCCCGGGTCACCTCCTCTTGGGAGCCCCCCAGGAGTGCTTCCCACCCGTAGGCCAGGCCTTCTCGGCTTGCCGGTGGCCACGGCACCCTCGCAGTCATCCCCAGAGAAACCTGCCCCTCCCCGCCCTCCATGCGTGGCTGTGAGCCGGTGCAGCGGGAGGGAAAGGGAGTCTCTGTTTTCACTGCCTGCGCCAGGGGGCATCCTGCAAGGGGCACAGGGGACTCCCCCCGGCAGACAGGAGCTGTTCTTCTGGGGGTGTCGGGGGCCGGGACCAAGAGCTCGAGCTGCCCGTCGGGGGACTGTGCTCCGGCACGGACATGGGAAGCCGGAGCCGGGCCCACCTTCCTCCGTTACCTCCTTGCTTGGTGCAGGCTCCCAGCAGGTTGACCACGTTCAGATGGTGGCCGATGTGGGTCAGGATCTTGAGCTCGGTCATCAGAGCTTTGTACTCGCTGGCAGTGGCCCCCTCTGGGTGAGAAGCAAGGAAGAATCAGGGGACGGGACAATGGGGCTCTTTCCGCTGCAGGCGGCATTCCTGCCCTCCTTGTTTGTTCGCGCACGGCCGGTCGCTTCGCGGACTTCCCTGCATTCTGCCCAAAGGCTGCGTCTCCAGACTGTTTTTGTTCCTCCCACCCTCCTAAGCCAACATCCTTTTGATTACAGTAAGGCCCAGAGCAGTGGTGGGTTAGTCACTGGACATTTCCTCTCAGTGGGCCCTGTCCTGTCAGCAATGCGCTGACTCAGAGCTGGGCTTCTGTGAACGTGCCTTCCAGAGGTTTCCCTCCTGTCAGAACTGGGCAGGAGGGACTCACCAGCAGGGGGGGCGGGGTGCATCTCCAGCTTTCCCACTTGCAGGGTCACAAGGAAGGGGACACCAGGGGCCTGCCAGGCTCGAGTGGCCACTTCTGTAAACATCTTTGCAGTGTGTCATTCTTTCCCTGTAACCTCTGCCACCCTAGGGTGGAAGGGTCCAAGGGTTATCTGACATCCTGAGCATCCACAGGCCTCCGAGAGGCCCAGGGCTCAGCAAGGTTATCAGCCCGAGAACTCGCAGGGTCTAAAGTTTGTTCTCCCTGTTGGTTCTTCTTTGTGAGCGTCTGAGGCATTAAAACAAGTTGAATTCCTTATGAACCATCAGTCAGAATGGAATGGATGGTAATGGTGACACCTTAGACGGTGCCGCCAGTGTCTGCAGAGAAATTATTTGTTCCCCAGAAAGTGAATCTACTGCGTAAACGTTCACCTTGAATGCAAATGCATATATAAGACAAGAGAAATAATTTTAGATCGTAAAAGAAATAGAATCAAAACGATTTCAGAGAAATGGAAGTAAAAGACAATAGAAAATTCCTGAGAGTTTTCTGAAGTCTCCCCTCCCCCCATATAACCCTGCTGTAAAATAGTCCAAAAATAGTAGTAAAAGTAATAAAGTAGTAAAATCTACCCCAACCTAGGTATGTTATCTCAACCCTATATGCCCATCACTGGTCCAGTTTTTATTTATTTATATGTGTATTTTACATAGATGATGAGTATATATAGGAGGGGGAACTTTATAGAGTATGTGGGAAATGGCATCTTTCCATGAACATTTTGAAGCCCCTCATATATAACCTCCCACACACATGTAAAGGGTATGCACTTACAGATCCCATATGCATGTATATATACTTATAAGTGAGTTTGGGTTTTTTTAGAACTTGCTTCTTTCTCCCTTTTCAGTATTATCTGAGACTACATATTTCTTTTACTAAATTGAAATGGCAATCCTTAATATAGATCAGTTTTTCCCAAAGTGGCAGTGCTACCCCCTGGGGAGTGGGGGCACTGGCCTGGTGGAGGCGGGGCTGTGAAAGCAGCTCCCTTCACTGTATGCTGGCTGTTGGCTTTAAGACAAATGGTTTCATTGTCAGGGGGCCACTGAGTAGCGTTTTGTTTTTTTCCCTCAAGAGGGTGCAGTTGGCCAAATCTGTTTGGGGACCTAGGATGGAGGGCCTGCAGACGAGCCACGTTTAGTCTCTGCAAGCGTGCAAGCATTGGTCGGACAGAGCCCTGGACGAGGGTCAGAGGTATGTGCAGCTACCATTATACTAAGCACCAATCAGGTGTTTCCAAAACACAAATCATTTTTTAATAATTGCCAGATTGACTCCAGAAGGTTTCCGGGGCCTGGGGGCTGACTCACAAGAGACACTCAAATGAACACCAGGATCACTGCTCTTGTTTCTGACATGGCGTTAAGGGCCCCAAGGTCATGGTTTCCGCTCCGGGGCCTTTGAAAGAGCGTCTGACTCGTGACCTTTGTTTGACATCCTGACTTTTCTACTAGTTTTTTCTAGTTCGCTCTGAAACAGATGGCTAACCAATTTAAGCAAGAACGTGGGACGAGAATAGCTGTTTTGTTTTAGTTTAGGAATTTTACACAGCGATCTGTCATCTTTCTCAATGTATGCTAATGGCTTCACAAGAAGATGTGTGATCATGAAGATATTATACATTATTTCTGCGTAACATAAAAAAGTAAGTCAAACAACACATCCCCCTTCAAATCCATCAGTCTGCCCAGAGCAGTTAGGCTCCTTCATCACAAGGCAAACCCAGACTGTGTGACTCATACTGTGCCATGGGCGGGCAGGACCATAGGACTCATGTGGGACCCACACTGGACCAGCATGGTCGTCAGAAGTGCGTATCTTAGAGACACAGGGCATGGCAGGGAAGAAGCCCGGCTGAGGAATTGGATGCTTCCAGACTTGGTTTTGGATGACATCTCGGTTGGGTCCTGGTTGCTTTAGAAAGCAGGCCAGGGTCATTTTGAGAACTTAGGCACTACCTGCTGTTCCTAGCCCTGTTTTCTGAGGAATTGGGGGGAGTGTTCTGACTCAACGGTGGAGGAAGCCTTACTCAGGCGTGGAGTGGCCTCACAGCTGAGCCCTCTCTCCTCATCTGCCAGCTGGGCAGACTCCTCTCCTACCTCACCAGGGTGTGCAGAGAAGATAAGGGTCCACTGATATACTGAAGTCCAGCCTTGTGCTCGCTCACACGGAAGATATACCAATGCCCCCTTCTCCTCAGAGTTCTTTTGGGGGAGGGGGCTGGGGGAAAATGCTGGATGAAAGAATTCCCACAGGTCGGTCTGTCGGTCATGGTCTTGGAAATCCACCTCCAACAAAAGTCCTGACCTGTAAAGGGTAATGCCCTTTCAGGTAACATGGAGCGTTTTAGCTGGGGACTTCCCTTGACCGGGACAGCCTTTTGAGGTAGAACGTGGGGATCCCTGGGGCATTTTAAAAGGGTGGGCTCAGCTCTGGAAGGAGGTTAAGAACGTAAGTTTCCCCACAGAAACGGTACTTTCTTTTAGTGTCTGTGCTGCGGGCCTGCTGGTTTGGCCTCCGAATCCCTGGCTGTGTCTCTGAACATTTGAAGAGGCAAAAACAACCCTGTGGGCTTTTTGTCCTGTATCTTTTTGATTTGGGACCCTTAAAATGAGTTGGGGTGATATGTGAGGAAATGAAGTATTTTCTGTACTTTGAAGGACATAGGCCTGCTTTAGAGTGGCCATGTCTTCCAAGATAAGAGATTCCGGCCTTTCTATGACTTGTTAAGAGGAACTGTTTTATGTTGGGGGCTTGACAATATATGAGAGTCGTGCCTCTTGATCCACTGGATTGGTTCAGTTGCACTTTGGTAGCTAGGTCAGGCCCATGCTAAGCCTTTGTGAGCTGTCGTGTGTTGTGGAGTTTCCATTACATCGTCACAGTAGATCGTTCCAGCATGTCAGCCGGCTGAAGTCACCGGGAGGGGAGAGTTTGAGATGTGAGAGGAGAAATACCTTTGAGGTGAGAGAGACCATTTCCCGTAGGAGAGTCCCTGATTGCTCCATTTACAAGGTTTATTCTGAGCGGGGCTGGCCTAATCTAAACCTTCTGAAGCAAAGGACCTCCCAGCAGTTGAAGGGCAGAGACAGTGTGTGTCTGTCCCCAGGCTGCTTCGCACAGACATTTAGGAAAGCAGAGCGGTGGCGGGGCCACGGAAGGCCAGCGACAGCACACATACCTTTCAGCATTTTCACAGCCACCGTCCGGCATGTGGGTGATTTCTTAATGCCAAATGCAGATGCTTGGACCACTTTCCCGAAAGCCCCTCTGCCAAGGGATTTGCCTACAACGAAAAGAAGACATTGATGGTTCATGGCCAGCCGGGAGGGCAAATTTAAGTCTTTCTCAGGAAATAAAACCCTTTTTAAAAGCCTTTGCCTAGGCTAACAAACTTCTGAGGACAAGAACATTTAGCCCTCATAGTATTTTCAGAATATGTTTACTATCGAGGAAGAAGCAATGCCAGCGGATACCATTCAACTGCCTAGTCAAACTCTTCCAATATGTGGCTCTATTTTGGACATGGGGTGGGTTGCTTTGTTTGTTCTTTAGCAACAACAACTTGATGTTTCCTGGAACCACCTCTCTTCTGTCCTCAGTCTAGGTGGTTCAGATGGGTTGACCCAACCTAGGTTTATAGGTAGACATGTCATTCAGATCTGATCAATCAGCACGGCCCATTTCCTTGACCACGGTGTTCACAAGCCCACTTCAAGAACGACCTTATAATTCTTGTTGATCCAGTGGTACTCAACCCGAGTTCAACTGATCTGTGGGAAAAAAACAGCGCTTTGCTGAGGTTGCTAAGCTTTGCAGATGGAAAGCTCAAACCAGTAGGCCCACCACATGGAAGAAGCCAGCCTAAAGACGGAAAGACTTGAGTCCTGATGACATTTGTTTATGCCCCTGGATCCAACCGTGCCTGAAGCTAGTATAGCCCCTGCACCTTTCAGTTACGTGAACCAATAAATTCTCTTTTTTGCTTTAAAAGGCAAAACAAAAACCTTTGCCTATGCGTGGATACAAAGCAGAGGGTCAGCAACAGAGGAAGACCCTTCACGAGACGCAGTGCCAGTGACTGTGACAAGGGGGTCAAACGTAACCATGTGAGGGTGGCACAAAACTGGGTAGTGTTTTGTTCTCTCACATAGAGTCCCTATGAGTCGAACTGAGCCCATGGTACCTTACAACGTGTGTGTGTCCTATAGCTTTGAATGGAACTGCTAATGAGCTGATCCCAGAAGACCACAGCAAGGGACACATTTCTAGGGTTTCTTTCTAAGAACTCTCCTGTGTTTATGAGCCCCTCAGACCGTCATAGCCAGGGGAACCCCCAGAGGCCTTGGGTGCAGTAGGTGGCCGATTTTCTTCCCATAGAGGTTACACCAATTCTCAGGGGACCTCCTCCATTGTTCCATTCCCCTGGGACCAAGCCTGCGTGGGACTGACACCCGTTTCCTGATGGCCATTTTTCCTTATCACTTTTCAGCACAGAGGGAGAAATGGAGAATGGTAGTTACTACTCCTGGTTGGAATACTTCATTGCTTAAAATTCGCTGCAGTGTCATTTCCTTCCTTTCCAGGAAAAATACTCCCAGTCTTTTCTAACATTTCCCTATGTCCTTACTATTTGACTATCACCTTCTGGAAGTCATTTAGACCACAGAGAGGGAGCTGCCAAGGGCAACAACTACACGAGGTTCCTGTCATGGTACTTTGAAACCCTGGGACTCTTTGTCCTGCCACGATGACGGTGAACCGGTCTCTTTCCCCACTTTTTCATGAGACAGCTTGACTCAGAGGCCTGAGAACGACGTGTTCGTTCTTGCCAGTACCCGGCCCAGTGACTGGCACATAGAAACCCAAATAGTCCACTGCCCTGACCTATAAGCAACTCCCTAAGACCGATTAGAACTGCTTCTTGAGGTATCTGAGCCTGTAAATCTTCACAGGAGCCGACTGCCTCATCTTTCCGCCTCGGAGTGGCTGGTGAGTTTGAACTGCTGACTTTGCTGTTAGCAGCCCAACACTTAATCCCTTGGACCCACAGGGTTCCTCGACCTGTAGAAAGTCTTGCATACAGAGGGAAGATCCCCTTTTGGAGACTTATGGGATGTCCAAAGAGAGTCTCATGCTGCCGTAAAAACAAACAATCTCACTGCCATCGAGTCAGTGCGGTAGGACAGGGTAGAACTGCCCCGTGAGTTTCCGTTACTGTAACTGTTTATGGGAGGAGAAAGCCCGTCTTTCACCCAAGGAGCGGCCGGTGGTTTTGAACTGCCAGCCTTTCAGTTTGCAGCCCAACTCATAACACTAGGCTACCCGAGCTCCGTCATGCCATCATAGGAAGTGGGACCTGATGCCCCCGTGGGTTACTTCAGCTGCTATTTTGATGAGGGGACTTCCTCTTGCCCATCAAGAAACAGGAAGCTAACCAGAACTGGAGAAGCACCAGGCCTTGAGCGATGACAAAAGGAGGGGGGAGCTGAAGATGGCTTCTTGGCTGTTCTGAGGGAAAATACTGAACCAACCCATCCCTCCCCTGATCCGAAGCCCAAGGCAGCAGTTAGAGCGTTAGTGGAACACAACCCCTCCGCTCTTCCCGGGGCCTTTTCCTCAGACTGGACCTTCAGTGAATTAGCCTAGCTTCCTTCCTTCCACGCACTCCAATCTCTCCCCTCAAAGGACAGAGCTGCTGTTGGGCTTTTTTTAAGTTTCTTGTAAAGTGTGTGACAAAGCCTTCCTGCTTCATCCTCTAAGAACCTTTATACTTTTATAGCCAATGACTCAGTAACACGGGAGCCCTGGCGGTAACAGTAGCGAAGCGCCACTAATGAGAAGCTTGGCGGTTCAAGCTCAGCCGGCTCTGTGGGTTAAAAGGACAGCCTAGGAAACCCTATGGGGTAGTTGTGTCCTACAGGGTCACCGTGAGTCGACTTGATGCCAGGCGCCAAGGTGCCTTTGCCTCTGCCCTGGAGCCCTGGTGCCATCATGGGTGCCAGCTGCAACATCAGGAGACCACCAGCCACTTGGAGGGAGAAAAGGGGGACTTTTACTCCCCCCAAACAGGTCCAGTCTCAGAAATGGAGGGGCAGTCAAACAGGTCCAGTCTCAGAAATGGAGGGGCAGTTCTTCCTTGTGCTATAGGGTCACTGTGAGTTGACCTTGACTCAATGGCAGTGAAAGAGATGACGCTTTAGTTTCTGTCACTATCAACCTAGAACCTGGGGAACGTCAACTCCCCACAGAGTCACGGGGGCCTTTCTGCTGCTATGTCTCTGCGAGTATCGGTCGGTCTCCAGTCTCAAACAAGTTCTGTTCCTAAGGATGTTTTCGAATCGCACCATTACATAAAGCACTAATGCCACTCAGTCACACGTTTCTCAGTATACAGTGTACCTTTCTGTGCATAAAAACATCAAACACTTCCAGATACACGGAAACATCTGTAGTCTCATCAAACATCCCCACCCTCCATAGGGTTTCTGAGACTGTAAAGCTTAGTGAGAGCACACAGCCTCATCTGTTCACTTGGAGAGGCTGGGGGGTTTGAACTGCCAACCATGCGGTTAGCAGCCCAGTGCCTTTCCTACAGCATCACTTTACTACAATAACAACAACAATATGGTTTGGGTGGGCGTTGTAAAGTAGCACCCATTTGTTATTATCAGCCACTGTAACTTTTAATATGATAGGCCTTGTGGGGCTTGGTTCGTAACCTCGGTTGTAAGTTGGATGTTCATTGGTTATCTGGGGGCTGCCTGTAATTCACAGGGCACACTCTGCATTTGCAGGGAACAGTGGCAAAAGTGAAAGTTTTTTTCTGTGGACAAACATGCACCAAGTATTAAAGCTCATCTTGCCCCAGAGCATGCAGCCCAGGAGGGGCTGTTGTCTCTGCTTGCTTCTTTTGGTCCAACTGCCCAAGGAATACCAGAATATGGCTTGGCAGGTCACTGCTAGGTGGTGGATGTCCAGAGCAGGTCCAGGAGGCAGTAGCCGGTCCCTTCTCCACACTTGTAAATACTGGTAAAATTAGGGTAGAGACCTGTTCCTTGAATGGGGTGGGGGGTGGGTGATGGCAGCAGAGGAACAACACTGCTCTTCTGTAATGCGTTCTCCCATCTTGGACAAAAGTGTCCCGAGCCTGAGAAATCACAGTAATCTCAGTCTTGGGAGCCCTCGACGTAGACTGCAGACTCTGGCTTTGCTTCTTGGGGGAGGCAGATTCCGTTCCCAGTCCACAACTCCAGCCCCCACACTTGCATTCCCGCCTGGCCGTCAAAACAAACTGTGTTTTAACAAGTGTTTGGGGACTTTGTTTCTCTCAGTGCGAATGAGTAAACCCATTCCCACTTGGCGCCCTCCAGTCTTCGCTCTTCACTCTCTTGGAAGCAGGACGATGGCCTTGTAAAACAGCATGAAGCGATTATGGGTGCTTTCATCTTTCTGATGACCCCCCATGGTTCCAGTTTTAGGGGAGCCCAGTCGCATTGGACTTGACCTGACCTGACCCTGCTTGTTCCTTAAAACCATTTTTGGTGTTACCTAGAATGCCACTTGCTGTTCCAGAGCGGGCTGGGTCTTCATCAGACAATGCAAAGATACCAGGATGTCTCCAAGAAGACTGGCTTGGCTCCCTGGGGCTCTCGGGAGAGTGCATGGCTGGTCTTCCAAAAGGCAGCACCAGCCCAGGCACCAACCACTTGCCAGATGCCAGGCTCCCTTGGTCGGGTCCCATAGTAGGTGATTCTGACTTTGAAAAATGATTTTGTTAACAAAGAGATGCAATGTCAGACTTTCTCCCCACCTTCAAGGATGACCTTACCATGGCTGAATTCTCTCTAGGTTGTGTGAAGTATCCCAAACAACACAGGCTGCTTTTGTCCCTGGATCTCAGGAATTCCAATGGTAGCAGCACCTTTGACCCACACTCCCAACTGCATCCATCTATCAAGCACTATCAAGTGCTGACTTCCATCCCTAGGGCTGCTGATAGTGACCAAGAAAGGAGACGCTGCTGAAATGGAATTCAGCCTGGTGTGTGTGCGTCTCTGTATTTACAATTCCGTTGTAATTCAGACAGGGCTCTGGATGGGAGAAAGACAGGGCTTTCTACTCCTGTAAGGACTTAGTTTCGGAAGCCCACAGGAGCAGTTCTAGCCTGTCCTATAGGGTCGCTATGAGTCAGAATTAACTCGATGGCAGTGAGTTTGGTGTTTTGTTTTTTACCAACCCATGCATACTCTTGGATACTTTCCCCTCCCAGACACCATGTCAGATGACCATCAGCCATTTTCTGGGTTAAAAAGCAACACCCCAAAAAAACAACAGCGCAAGTGCTTGGGCCTCCTTGCAGCCTGTCTCTGGCCCTTGAGTCCAGACAAAAGACAAGGGCGATTCGCTGTGCTTTCTCTCACCCGTCAAAGAGTTCAAGTGGACATGGGCCAAACCATTGCGTCTGCAACTCTGGGAAGGGATGGAATGATAAGAAAAATCCCCAACAAGAGAACTTGGTGAAGTGGAATGATCTGACCCTGTGGAGCCCCAAGGGAGCTCTGCTGTGAGGTTTGGCAGTCTCTCTGGACCTGACACGGATCACAATGACACTAGGTCAAGGAACGCGGAGATGGGATGGGAAGTGCATGTGCCCTGGACTGGGAGAAGCTTCTCTTGTTGTGACTAATAACCCTGCAAACCAGTGGGAATGGCCCACGGACGTGGGAAAACAACCCTGCATCCCCTGCCAAGGTCACCGAGGGGCTGAGCGAGCCGCTATACAGCGCTATACAACGCTATACAGCGTTGACTTGTAGAAGGACCTCAGCCAGTGTGTCATCTGCCCTTCACTACTCCCGTTGATCTTACATCAGCCAGTCCTGGCTTTCACGCATCTCTCTAGCTTCTTACTGGCTACCAAGATTCTCCCACAGGCCAACAGAACCCGCTCTCGGTGCCGGTTGTTCTTGGATAAGGCGATGTGTTAGCCACCCTTCTTTCTTGGGTCGTATGCAGTGAAACCAGATCATTCCAAGACCCAACAGATACAAGGAAAGCCATGCCTCCTTGTGGTCCTCTCAACACCCTTCACCCCACAGTAGTGTGTGTGTGTGTGTGTGTGTGTGTGTGTGGGTGTGTGTGTGTGAGATGGGTGGGACAACAGGGGATACGGTTGAATATGGAGCCACAGGCTCTTTTCACTGGGAGCGACAAGCAAAGATTCCAAAATCTGTTTTCCTAGTTCCAACTCCTAATGACTCTGGCATACACAGTTGGGAGTGGAAAACTTTTAGAAGCCACAGTCCAAATATTTTGGACAGGGAGGGTAGTTGAGGATCCAATTGTTTTGGAGCACCACAGGCTGGAGATGAATTTGCCTAGTGACGTCTCAATGGGAGGAACCGGGGTAATTGGAGGGAAAGCACAGGGGCCTGGTGTTTACCGCAGCTACATTACCTGGGAAAAAACAACAGTCCTGACTTTGAAAGTGAAACAAAACGAGCCTCCTGGGATTGTGTGTGTGTGTGTGTGTGTGTGTGTGTGTACGTATATTCCAATACCCAGAGAAACTCCGGGTATATCTTGTGTGTTCTTGTTCATGGGGTTTGAAAAAATAAAAATGTCGGGGGACGTGTATGCCACCAGAGAGACACCATTTTAACCATTTTCGCAGACGGCATAGCATTTGGTGATACTGAGGACGCCCTTCAAGTGGTGCCACCATTTGCTCTGTCCCTTTCCACTGTCTCCTGCCACCATCAAGAGCCCCCAGCTTCCCTAATCTTGCCAGCCAAAAGACTCCTTGCTCAAAGCAGGCATATTTACTAATGTAGTCAAGCCATTCTTTGGTCCCTAAATGTAAACCCAATCATTTTAAGGCCAGAGAGAGGATCAAGGAAAGCCCCCCCCCCCGCCCCCCCGTCCTTCCCCCCACCTCTTAGCACCCTTCACCTCAGCATAGTCTGGAGTGCAGTTGAATTTGGATTCGCAAGCTCTTCACACTGGGAGCAACAGTCAGAAACTAAAAGATGCTTTGCATTAGGTAAGCCTGCTACACAGGACCTCTTTAGAGTATTGAAAAACTAGGATGTTACTTTGAGGACTAAGGTATACCTGGGCCCAACCATGGCATTTTTAATTGTCTCATGTGCATGTGAAAATTGGACAATGAATAAGGAAGGTTGAAGAAGAATCAATGTATTTGAATTGTGGTTCTGGTGAAGAATCTTTTAAGTACCTTGGACTACTAAAAGGACAAACATCTGTCTTGGAAGAAGTAAGCTCAGAATGCTTCTTAGAGGCAAGGATGGCAAGAGTTTGCCCTACATACTTTGGACATGTTATCAGGAGAGATCAATCCTGGAGGACATCATGTGTGATAGAGCGGAGGGGCAGCCAAAAGAGGAAGGGCGTCAACAAGTTGGATTGACACAGCGCCCACACCGAGTTTCGGAACCTGTGCGGAGGGCGCAGGACTGGGCCGGGTATCCTGCTGTTGCAGGCAGGGTCGCCGGAGCCAGAACTGACAGCGGCACCCAAGGACGACATTCATTGGATCAAAGAAAACTTCAGAGATAGTTTTGATTTACAGTTTAAAGCCGTGTTAGGATTTCAGGGCAATAGTTTTAGGGGTTCATCCAGCTTCCATGAACCTAGAAAGTCTAGTTTCCCGTGAGAATTGGACATTCTGGCCCGTATTTCCCCCTCTGTTAATCAGGTTTCTCCTATAGAATCTTTGGTCAAATAGTTCAGTAATGGAAGGTGGGCGCTACTCAGGTCTTCTAGTCTCGGCAAAAAGTGCAGTTATTCATGGAGGGAACCAGATTGTTCAAAGGATTTGGGGTTTGGTTTTCCTACGACCTGGAGGAGCAGCAGTTCTCTCACCAGATGTTTGATCTTGCTGCTCCACCCCCTCCTGACTCACATTCTGGATCCCACAGGTCTCGGTATCCTGTGATTTTATTCGATAAGCATGCCTAGATTCAGCTAATCCCCTTATCTAGGGTCTCTGTCACCAGAGGAAGGGGACCCACATACCTTTGTAGCCCCAGGGCTTACCCTGGCATCTGCTCAGAGAATGAACAGGTGCCCCTGGTCTCCAAGTATGGCCATTCCAGCATTCCATCGAAACCTTTGTAAACGTGTCCCTCTCCCTTGCTAGTCTGTGCGCAGCTGGGGGACGGAGCCCCCCACCTTCTCCAGTGCACTCTCCTCAGACATCAGTGATTTGCATGGAGGCCCCAAGGCACTGGGTACAGGCAGATGCATATCTGGAGGGCAAGTACCTTACCTAGTTTCAGTCTCTCTCGAGCAAACTCCCACTTGCTGGCATCGTAAGGGAGTCGGTCACACTGTTCATCCAAGGGCACTTCATCGGGATCCATGATGATGGATAAGTAGTCAGCCTTTATCTCCGAGGAAGACTAAAGGATGAAGAGAACTTCGAGTCACCCACCAGACGCACTTTGGCAGCCCTGGATGGACCCTGACCACCTCGGCTCTGCGTCACGCACGTGGTTGAAACGGTGTGGTCAAGTGCAGAAAGTACCGTCCCACGTGCACATTGTGGTGTCACACTCAAACTTCTCATTCCCTGTCAACGGTCCGTAGCAGTGCCCCATCCCACTCCCATCCCAGAGAGAATGCACTCAAAGCCCTCCAGGGACACCCTTACCCAGGCTTGTTCTCTGAACAAAACAAATCCGAGCATTTTAACAAAATCATTCCGAGCAGCGAGGACAACTAATGTTCTCTGACTTCTCTATGCAGAGTAGGAACATGCCTAGCCCATGGCCCCTGCTGTGTGGGATTGTAGCTCTTCCACCTCCAGAAGAAAGGCCTGGCATGACAGAGGTGACCGCATCACTGGGGAGGGGGCGGCACATTTTGAATCAAGAGTTTCAAGTCGAGACCTGGCTTCTCCGTTTCTGCAGCTACCTGAGAAAATGGGAGGGACCGTTAGTGAGATCACAGTAAGTCTGCTGTCAGTAAGGAGCCCAGGTGGCACTGTGGGATAAGCATTGGGCTGGTAAGTTCCAGGTTGGCAGTTCAAATCCACTGGCTGCTCTTCAGGAGAAAATGAGTCTGTCTGCTCCCATCAAGCTAGACAGTCCAGGAAACTCTGAGGAGCAATTTTACTCTGTCCATCAGGGTTGCGAATGAGTTGGAATCAACTCGATGCAGTGGGTTTATTGGTGGTTTTTGTTTTGGGTGAGAAACCAGAGTTGGCTACTTCAAAGGCCAAGGAGTGCTTCAAAAATCAATGGAAACATTCCTCAATTTTTTCATTCCATTTTCCCACAGACTTAGGGAGCCCCCTTGTATGGGATAAGACCCACATCTTCTACATTTGTTTCGTCCTTTGTGGACTAGCAACCAAGTAAGGCAGCCATCCGCTGTCGCTGTGAAGTGCTTGCTTTAGCTTGTCCTGCCAACCAAGTCTGGCAAGTATCCTTTGCTTCAGATCACAGCGAGCTGGATAGACACTGTGTGTCTGAGATTTATATCATTGGACGAATTGCTTGTGAACATTTGATTGATGACTGCATCTCTGTGGGCAGGATCTTGGCGGGAACAACCAGGAAGCAGGTTGGCGCAGAGATGGCAGGTGGGGCTGGCTCTGGCCTGGGGATTCTGGAAACGTCATTGAAATGGCGTTGGGGACTCTTCCTGGCAGCGCCGTTCCCTCAACAGCATCAGCGATCAATGAGGGAAGACAACCTTCCCAGAGACACCCTCGCACACCCACTCGCATTCTTCAGTCCTGACTCACCCAGTTCTGGACAGTCACTGCTCACCTCATCCATCACTTGGCAATCGCTCCCCTTCACACAAAAATGATCCCGAAACCACGTGACAAATAGCTCTTCAAAGGTTCTCCTGACCTCCACAGAGGGTGGAGGCGGGGAACGACAGGCAGCACGTTTGTTATGAACCACGCTGGGCATAGGTGTGAGACTGGAAGATCCCAGTCTGTCAGCCACTCCTGTAAGGTTGACAGAAGGGGCTTCGAAAAATTCCTGGAAAAATTCCATGATCTTTACACTCCGCTTTCTCATGCGCATTTGGAAGCCCCTTCGTCTGTGAGCATGAATTTCATAGCAGGGGGCTGAGCTTTCTTCAGAGAAGCCTCTGGAGTCAATCTTATGACTAAGCTCTTCAATGGCCGATACAGCCAAGGCACACTGACTGGTCTCCAACCTTCAAAGAGCCTGGGATGTAGTTGAGGCCAAGCAAGGAACACCTGGGTTTTCCACAGGGAACCTGGGAAATTGCCAGCCTGTCGATGGAGGCTGGGGTTGGGCAGTGGAAGTCAGTTTCACCACGTAGCATGAGGGGACTTCATGGGTGATCACCGAGAGTGAACTCCTAGGATACCTTAGTGAGGGCTTTGAAGAGAGGACAGTAGAATCGGCAAATATTTATTCTTCCATTGACACCAACACTGAACAGCTACTGGATGCTTGGCTCGGGGTCTTGCCATTAAGTGTTTGCGAACCAAAAGTCACAGCTCAACTGACCAGCCACATAACTCCGGGTGTAACCCGAGGGTAACCTCTCAAAAGCCAGATTCCTTATCTACAGCTCAGTGATAATAATGGGTTATCTCATAGGGCCGTTTTGAATAACAAGTGAAGTAATACATGTAAAGCTGTCAGAACAGGCCTGGAATCTAGGAAGCATCCCTAAGGGTAGCTCTGATTGCTGACACTGGCCTATGTAAAGTGAGGAGAAAAGGTGGTCTTTATCAACGGGAACTTTTCATTGTCGGCAGACACACCAGCCAGATTTAGTTCTTGGAGCTGGGCTTCCCTTGGCGCCCCCAACCAAATCTCTTGTCAAGTTTTATTGGCATGCTAGCTTCACATAACCCTTTCCTTTCACCCTCTATGGTCGACTTCAAGATTCCAGACTTTTAAAAATGGAAAGGACCTCATCCATTTTGTCCCTAGTTGCCTGTCCCATTTTCTCTCCAGAAAGAGCCCTGGTGCCACAGTGGTTCAGCAGGCGAGAGATGGGGCAGGCTGCTACAGTGAAGAGCTGTTGCTGTGACCGTTGTCAAGTCAGTTGTGACTCAGCGATGGAATGAAACAGCGCCTGGTCCTGCCCAATCCTCATCCTCATCGCTGTGCTGGAGCCCATTGTCGCAGCCACTGGATCAGTCCCCGCCTCCAGGGTCTAACGCTCTTTCTTAGCCCCTCCGAGACTCCACCACCTCCAGGGACTGGTCTCTCTGGACAACATGCCCAAAGTACATGAGACCGAGTCTCGCCATCCTTGCTTCTAACTTCTTCCAACACATTCTTCCATGTGTGCATGGTCTAGTCAGTATTCTTGGCCAGCAGCACGGTTCAAAGGTATCAATGTTTCTTTGGTCTTCTTTCTTTCCTGTCTAGTTGCAACATGCATATGAGGTCATTGAAAAGACCGTAGCGTTGATAGACAAGCGAATAGACTTTGATAGTTGGGGGGAGGGGAGTGGGAGAGGAGGGAAAGCAAAAATAAACAAAAAATTAAATTAAAAATTTGAAAAGCCTATGGGATGATTCTTTCATCACATGGGGCCCCTCTGAGTCAGAATCAGCTTGATGTCAGTGAGTTTTTGCCAGCTTGTTTTTTAGGGTGTTCCAGGAGTCCTGGGGGGATACTTATGATTTAAGTGCCTGGGTGGGGGTACTGATTAGACTAGGAAACCCTACGGGGCAGTTCTACCCAGCCCTATACTGAGCCCTGAGTCAGAATCAACTCAGCGGCAATAGGTTTGCTTGTTTGTTTTAAAATCAATAGAATATACCACGGCTCGGTTAGGCACCCCTTAGTCCTCAGAATGATAGCTTTGCTCTTTAGCACTGTCAAGAGGTCGAGCGCAGCAGATTTCCGTAATACAACACGTCATTTGGTTTCTTGACTGGCTTCCATGAACGTTGATTGTGGGTCCAATAGAATGAAATCTTCTGCAATTTCAACCTTTTCTCCATTGATTCTGAGGCCGTTTATCAGTCCAGCTGCGAGGATGTCTGTCTTCTTTATGCTGAGGTGTAATTCATACTGAAAGCTGCCATCTTGGACCTTCATCAGTCAGTGCTCCAAGTCCTCCTTGCTTCCAGCTAACTGCATAAAGTCGATTGCTCGTGGGTCTTCCTCCAACCCGATGCCACGTTCTTCATACAGCTCAGCACAGGACTGAATAAAGTTGGTGAAGAGATACAACCCTGACACACGTCTTTGCTGATTTCAAAGCACGCACCATCCCCTTGTTCTGCTTTTTGAACAGATAAAAGCTCTGAGTGAGCACAATTAGAGGAACTGGATCCCCCACCCTTCACATTGATCCACCCAGTGGGATGCCTTTGCATAGTCATCAAGCCACACAGGTAAATATCTTTCTAATGGTCTCTGCTTTCAGTCCAGATCCATCTGATAGCAGCAATGACATTCCTCATATGACATCCTCTTCTGAATCTTCCTTGACTTTGTGCTTCTAGAGCTCCATCAGCCTGTTGAAACATTTCAATTCGTGGGGATCCTAACACATGGTGGACAACATTGCAAAGAATGGGACTTCTAGAACACTTCATTGTGCTCATGAGGAACCTGGACCAAGAAGCTGTTGTGTGAACAGAAAGAAGGAGGACGGGGTGGTTCACAGTCAGACAGAGGGTGGAGGAACCTGGAGTAGCACCGCGTTTCTGACAGGAGAGGCACATCAGACTCGGGTCCTCGTTTTCCTTTAAGTGTCTTAGAACAGAGTGTTGTTAGGGGTTGGAGGCTTCCCAGGTCCCGTGCTGAGTGGACTCCACAGATCCTACTCATGACCCTTGGGAGAGCAGGAGCTCAGTGGGATTGCCTTGTGTTTTCAAGATCTTCCTTTGATAGGATACAGCCTTCCTGAAGGTTCTATTGCTTTTTGTTGGTAGAGGTATTTGGCTTTCCTTCTCTGATAGATTTCTACCTTATTCAAGTTCTACCTGCTGCCCATTTTCCTATAGGTATTTTTATCTACCGGAACTCCAAGGGAGCTTCCAAAAGTTCATGGGGAAGTTCTTTATGCTTCAATTCCTTGTTAAAATGCGCTTCCTGAAGCCCCCTCCTATAGCTCCTCTGCCTCACCCATTCATGGTTCCGAAGTTCTCCCCATGCCTCCACACCACAGAGGAGAGAGACTCAGACAGCTCACTTTCCTGATTTCCCTGCTCAGAGAACAGACTGCAGGGAAGGGGATGAAGAGTATTGGGGGTTACATCACGCCTGCACCTGGCATTGGGCCACGTATTTTAAAGAACCGTGTGAAAAAGAGCAAAGAGCTCAATCCCGTATGTTCTTACCCTTTTCAGTTTTCGGATAAAGAGTGTTAGGAGGAGCCAGAAGAGGGTTGCCGCCACACAGGTACACGCCAGCGTGATCAGCTCCAGATTCGACTTGTCGGAGGTTCCTGGAGAGAGAAAAGCACCAAATGCGGTGTTAACCCACCTACGGGGCCAGCCCAGCCGCTGGCTCGGGACCCGGCCTGTGACACAGACTTGTCAGACAGAAACAGAAACCCATCTGGGTGGTGAATCTGGATCATGAAATAAGAATCTGGAGTGTGCAATTTCCCTAGTGGGTTATCGAGGAAATTCTTTGGGGAAAAAAGACGTAACCTCTTTTGGGATGCACCAAATTGTAAAATGGAGATTTAAAAAATAAAAACATGCCCCAAGGACTGCTTCACTCCTTTTGGAACAACTGGTCCAAAGTGCCCACCTTCTGCTCTCGTGGGTCTGTTTCCAAAGGGCTGGACAAGTAGCTGGTGGGCGGTGGCTGCACAGAGAACTGATGAGCCCGGCCCTCACTTCCTAGACTCCCCGAGATCAAACACCGCATCGTTCCTCCAAGACCGACAAAGAGAAGACCCCAAGCTTTCAAGTTGTTCCTTCAGAGAGGAGATGCTGCGATCCATGAAAGAGTCCCACGATGGGCCCCCACAGTGGTCTCCTACTTAATTGGCCTTAGGGGACAATTTGCCAAGAATTTTAAAGGCATACCTTTATTCTTTAACCTCATTAGAAGGTGAGAGGCACAAGGGAAACTTCCTAGAAGTAATTCTGTGGATGGTATGATCATTCACTGAGCACTAGTCATGTGCTAAGTACTGAGACACCCTAGGAAGCGGTGTCATCAGAAACTGTAATCCATGGATGTGGGCTTCACCTTAGGGGCTCCCTATTGCAATTCAGTGGAGAGGTATTGAGCCTCTATGGCAGGTAAGGTTAGAGACTGGAGGAGATAGGAAAATGAAGAGATAGTAAGAAAAAGTTCTCCCTCTCCCCAGAAGTATACTTACCATCTGACCAAGAAACTCAGGAAGCTGTAATGAAATGAGAGATGATAAGCCTTGGGAAGCAAGCCCTAGTGTTTTTTAAAGGTCGCATTTACAGTGGATGTTGATTTGCAGAGTGGACAGCCAGGGAGAGCATTAGGCAGAAGGCACAGTATAAGTAAGAACCCAAAGGTGGGAAATCATAGCGATCGGATGGTGGTGTAAGGTAAGAACTAGGTCGGGACAGACCATAGAGGATTCTGAGCTTCTGGGTGATGGCTTTCAACTGATGCAGCTGCAGGCAGCTGGGACCAGTGACGCTTCCCTGCCAGAAACAATAGCCAGTCCCCAAGCTAGAACTCTGAGAACAGTAATGCTTACTGTTTTAGGGGTTCTTCTAGGGTTGACATGTCTTCATTTACCCAGGGCTCACAACAGCCTTAGTAACTCACTCCCGCTATCAAGTAGCAACCCTATAGAAGAGAGTAGAACTGCCCCGTAGGGTTTCTGAGACTGTAAATCTTTATGGGAGCAGACTGCCTCGTCTTCATCCCATGGAGAGATTACTGGGCTTGAACCTCCAGCCAGCCTTGTGGGTAACAGCCCAACACTCAACCCACGGTGCCACTGGTGCTCCTTTAATGTAGCCACGACTCACAGTAGCTCTAAAGTTAGTTAAACATGTCCATTTTACAGATGAGGACATTGAAGCATGTAAACTGTGCTTTTAACCCAGCTAATTGGGAGTCTTAGTGGTACTGTGGATTAAGGCATTAAACTGCTAACATGACATTTGGGAGGAAAACACAAGACAGGGTAGTGTGTTGTTCTGTTAGATTTAGGTTGCTATGAGTCAGAGTCAGCTCCCCAGCACCGACCGACAACAACAAGAACATTTAAATGAAGCATCTTGACATGTTTCCTGGCAATCTGAATATCTTCTATGGTGACATACCCCCTTTTATATTGGGTTGTTTGTCTTTTGCAGTTAAGCCTAACCAAAAACACTTGCTGTGCTCTGGATAGTAAACCTTGATTAGATACTGAGTTTCAAGTCCTGTGACACAGCCGGAATACTGATGTTAGTTCTTGCATTCACGGTGCATCTCCCCTGTTCAGAAGAGGGCCTGGCACCTTGGTGGCATCCTAAAGGCTGCTTTTGAAGGGCAAATGGGTGAGTTCACCTTCGTTTGCTGCTTTGTCAGAGTATGGTGGCATTTCTCTGCATTGAAGAATATTCAAAGTACAGTGAACTTGATTCTCAATGGTAGGAATGTTGTACACTTAATAAGTGACTTTGTATCCCCTCCTCAACAACAAGAGGCCTGAAGTTGCCTTGCTGTACACACACACACACACTTGCTTAGGCTGTAAAAATGTTGTGTGAAATTTGGTTGGGACTCGTTGAGGGGTACAATGGCCTTGGGCAGTTGGAGATGCCTGATAGCATCTCAAGACATGACTCTGTCTCCATAAAACCTCTGCAGATGCCTCTCTCCTGGAATGTCCTGAGAGAGGCCCCCTCGGATTGTGGGAATGTTCCCACTGCATTCCACGGGCAGGAAGTTGACCCCCAAAGTCTAATTCCACAGGCCTTACTCAGGCAGCATTCCTCTCAGCGAGACCCGCTGTGTTTGCGTGCAAGAACTTACACACTTCAAGAATCTCATGACACGTTGAGGAAAATATCTTCAGGATGAAAACTTACCAGAAGGAAAAGAAAAAATGAATAGTCTACTCATCTCATGCCCACTGAAAACTGAAAAGGTAATTTCAGCAGCTGTAGTGTACTAGCTATGTGTTCTGTCTCATTGAAAGCATTTTTAAAATTAGAGTTCTGGTGATAATAGACAGCAGCAGCACAAAGCCCACTCCGTTTCTGCATGTGCAGTTCAAGAACATTGGCTGCACGCAGATCCAAGCCAGGGTATTTTCAATCGCCTCCTATTCGTGGAAAGCTTCGCAATGACCAAGGAAGACCAGAGAGTGATGGAGGCCTTAGAATTACTGTGTTGGTGAAGAACATCAACTATACCATGGACTGCCAGGAAGATGAGCACATCTGTGTTGGAAGAAGTACGGCCGAATGCTTCTCAGAAGCAAGGATGCCGAGAGAGGGAACAGTCACTGGCGACAGACAAGTCTTGAGGGTCAGGGAAAAAGAAGAAGATCCTCAACAAATTGGAGTAGCAGTGGATTAGCTGCAACCCTGAATTCACACGTGGTAGTGGATTTGAAGAAGGTCTCAGGACTGGGCAGGGGCTCCTTCTGTTGCACAGAGGGTCGCCATCAGCCGACACTGACTTGATGGCACCTGGCCTTCCATCCCTCCCATCCCTCCCCACATTGTTCACCTCTACTGACTTACACACTGCGCTCAAAGCGATCACTTGTGCTTAGAGTTGTGTTGGCAATATGATCTCACATAAGCAATCCTTTAAAGGGGAGCAAAGCTCACGGTGGATGTTCTTTACTGATTCAGCCACCCCAGTGTTTAAAGATGATTTCAGGGGATAATCTGGGTCCACAGGTTGAAGATTTTCTCAGAACAGTAGGTTGGGGGCTTCCTGCGGTCTCAGTAGGTCCCACAAGTCTGGATTTGGTTTCTCCATGGACAGTTCAGGAACACTAATTGTTTTAAATTTAGCGTTTCCCTCTTTTGATTAGTTTTCATCTATCGGGTCCTTCATCAAAACGTTCCACCATGGTAGCCGGGCACCGCCCAGTTCTTCTGGTGTCATGGGAAAGGAGGTAGTCGATCCAGGAGTGAGTGAGAGAGATGTGCAGTGCTGGCTCTTCTCTCTCCATCTCATCTATAGCTCGATCTTCATCACTTTATGAAAAGCATCCATTAGGACAGCTGTGTACGTAGACTCCCTGAGGTAGCTGCATCTTCTCAAGACAGTGGCCCGACTAGAGCCAGCTTCAGCTTGCTTCACACGGCTGATGAGCTCAGTGTGTGAGGCAACCCAGATGCACATGGTTGAGAAAAGGAAGCCGGAGGACACGTACCTGGTGGCTTGTGTCAATAGCTAGGGGTTGGTGCCGAGCTCCGGGGACATCAGTGCATGTGATGCCTGAGGAGGTCCAGGCATCATCATGTGCACCCTGACATGGGATCCTGACAGATTTTACAGCTCATGGTCACTGTCATGGCACGGCGCGGACCCTGCTGGAGTGTATTTTATGCCAAATGCCCTTCTAGACTTCATCCCCTTCCTCCTGGAATAAGTAGACGGTGCACCCAGGTGATGGATTGAGGTGGCAAAGGTGGTGTGCCTTGTCTACTCTCTGCTGCTCGGCACTCCTGTTCCACCCACTGCCTTTCCCATGACCTCAACAGCTGTTTCCGCATCTGTTAGCGTCACACCAACCCTGACGCTGGGCTCTCCCCAGGAGCTGAGCCATTGTACACTCCCAACAGCCACGGGGCAAGGCTTCCAATTTCTCCATAGCCTCCCCCACATTTGGGGCTCTCTGCTTTTCTGATCACACTCTTCTTAGCAGGTTGGAAGTAGTACGCTGTGCATTTCTCCAATGACAAATGGCATTGAGCATCTCTGCATATTTTAATCGGCCTGTTCTGTAGGGTTGCTATGTATATCATCTTTGGGGAAATGCCCGTTTTAGAAATTGAGGTGTCTGTCATTTGGTTGTTGAACTGCAGGCATTCTTTACTTTGTGAGTGGCGGGCCCTGATCAAATATATTACCCAGTATCTTAAGCTGCTCTGGAAGTTGCCCCTCACTTTCCTGATAAAGTCCTGTAATATACACGTGTGTTAATTTGAGGAAGGTCAGTGTCTCTATTCTCCCTGTCGTTGCCCTTACCGGGTGCCATTGTCTGTGGCTCCATTGTTGAAAGCAGGCTCTCAGAATTATCCTGATCTTTTCTTCTAAGTTTTACGTTTCTCTTCTTACATTTACAGCACCTGTCCATTTTGCGTTAACGTTTGTATATGATGTGAGGTCCCCACAAAAGAACATCATTCTTTTGCACGTGAGCTATCATCATTTTAATTTAACCGTCTCGAGTTTGCTTCCCACTAAACTTGGAGGCCCTGAAGAGAAGGATGTGTTCCTCATACATCTTGCATTTCCACCACTGGCTCAGAAAAGGTCTTAATAACCATT